ATTCCAAGACTCCCATTTTACAACACACCTTTAACCAACGACGCTAAAAAAATATCGTTCACGTTAAGATCGATTCCGGGAGTTCTACTCACCCGAATTCAATTCTGTAAAGTCGTACGGATTCCTTAACGACTTATCTAACTACTCATGTAATCAAAATCATAAATAAGTCACCCGATTGTTACCACATTTCCCTACACCTTAATGACTCTGATTTCGTCCAAATTTGGACTAGGTTGGAAAAACTCAAGATACTACGAAAAAGTTTTTGGCCCAAAATTTTTCCCCGTTGAATTTTCTATAACGACAAAACCTGGTCGTTACAATACTCCTATAGTATCATTGACTAATGAGTAATTTCTAAACAAAATACCTTAATGATACCACAACAACAATATACATATACTCTTATAGTATCATTGACTAATGAGTAATGAGTAATGAGTAATTTCTAAACAAGAAACTTTAATGATACCAATACAATATATATACTGATTTTGTATCAGTTAAGCAAAATTATCAGCCTTAGTGATACCAATACAATATATGATATTGATTTAGTATCAATTAAGCGAAAATTATCAGCCTTAAAGAATAGGTGTATGGGAAGTAAAATTCTTTTTAAAGAATGTGTATTTCTTAAATTACTTTGTATTGAAATATAAACATGTAATTATTTTAAGTTTTATGATTATTTATGTAATTTTTCCAATTTTTTTACATATAAGAAAAACGTTAATTGACAAATGACAACTAGAGAAAAATCTGAAGTAGCAAGGTAAAGAAAAAAGGGTCAAATTAATAATTAATATTTTCTAATTATTGAAGATTTTTGTTGGGTTTTTGTTCTCCATCGACACTACAGTTCAAAAGTGAGTGAAAAGCTAAAAGGGCCGCATTATAACTTACAAAAATTTTACTAGTTTATGAGCTAATTATTTAGATATATTCTAATTTATAATATTATGAATCTTATCAGATTCTGCATCCATATACATGTATCTCAGGATATATAAATCAAAATTAGATGTAAGTTGTTCTAGATACATTGTATCTAAGTAGATTCACATGTATGTGGAATAGATAGACAAATCTCGCTTGCCTTCCTCTCATCTCATTCGCCGCTCTTGTCTATCTAGTGTTTAGATACATGTGAATCACACCAAATACATACAAATACATATATCTAGTGTGTATCTAGTATGATTCACATGTATCTACCAAACTGGGATACGTAACTATCTTCCTCCCCATCTCGCTCACTTCCCTCTCAATCTCACTCGCATCTCTCCCTATTTTAGTGTATTTAGTAGCAAAAAGACGTGTATGTAGACATATATTTCTCAATATATGGTAGAAAACTCTTAATTAATGATAAGATACATAATAATTTAAAAGTATACGAAGAATTTAATATATATGATATGAATATACATCTAATAAGGTAATTTTCCCATTAAATATTACCTTTTTAAAAGAAAATGTAAATTGCATATGTTTGAAACCACACGTAAATTAAATATCATATATTGTAAGTTGTAATTATCTTTACATTGAAAGGAAAAAAGACAAAAAGATCGTTTGATTTGAAAGAGTGAAATGGGACAATCATATATTTTGAAACGAAATGCGTATGTTTTATATTAGAGCAACTTTCACATATAGCAAACAAAAAAATCATATTTGTATGTTATAGCAAAGTTTGCATAATTGCGCTCCATAGCAAACATATATATGTATAATTCGCTATACATATACAATTGAAAGCTATGTCTATTTCGCTATACATATATACAAAAAAGAAGCAATTGTATAATTCGTTGGCTCCTCTTCAGATTTGTATAATTTTGTTGGCAGGCCATTTGTATAAATTGTTGTTAGCCTCTCGTTTGTATAAATTGTTGACAAAAATATTTGTATATCAAAAATCGCTCTCTTTCGCTTTATACAAACATAAATTATACATTATACAAACATAAATTATACATTATATTTGTATAATCTGTGTTTGTATAAAACGAGAAAGAGAGAAAGGCAAAAGAGAATTAATTGGACAGGGGAATATTTTTATTGTATGATTATAAGTGTATAAGACGAATATATATGTATTTGCATGTGTATATACAATTTTCTCAGGCTTTATACAAACAGAAACACAATTTATACATTTCTGTTGGATAAAGCGAGAGAGGCGAGCGACAGAGAGAGCGAGCGAGAGAGGAGAGTGGCAAGCGAGAGTTTGAGGGAGAGAGGCGACTGGCAAACAATTTGCTATAGGGCACAATTAAATCAAAGTGTGGTTATACCATTTAATTTGAATTAATATTTTGCCATTATGTACAATTTTCCCTTTATATTATATGTTTCTCCCTTTAAAATTATGTGCAATCATCTTTTAAGACTTAAATATATAGATATTTTTTATAGAGGAACTTTCGCATATAGTCACTCAAAAATAGCCTAATTATGCTTCATAGCTATAGTTTGTTAATTACGATTCGTAGCTACATGTTATAGGGAACAGAGTGGCGAGCGAGATTGGGAAAGGGAGGAGAGAGGCGAGAGAGAGAGGGATGAGAGTGGGAGAGAGGTGAATTGTATATGTATATCGGTTAGATAATTGTATATTATACATATATATTTGTATAATCTGGTGAGTGAGATTGGGAGAGGGAGGAGAGAGGCGAGCGAGATTGGGAGAGGAGAGTGAGATTGGAAGAGGGAGGAGAGAAGCGGAGAGAGAGGGCAAAAATTTGTATAATTCGCAGGTACGTTTGTATAATTCGCGTGTTTTTGTATAATTGAGTAAATATAAAGTCTAGAATTATACAAATATGATAAAACTAAAAAAAAAATGAATTGATACAAACATAAACATATGAACTTTAAACAATTATACAAAATATATTATACAAATTACATTATATAAATTATATTATACAAAATCCAAAAACTATACGTTTATACAAACTTTAAAAAGTTATACACAAAAAGATTGAATATATATGATGACAAAACTGAAAACCAAAGGAAATCATCGTCATATACAAATACAAACCATCGTATACAAATACAAATCAAACGAAGAGTTGTTAGTTGCGAATTATACAAATGTGGTGAATCTTACAAATGTGGCTAATTATACAAATTCAAAGTCAACCCTCATAATTAATGGTTAATGTTAGTCGAGAGTGGTAATTATAGCAAACTATAGTTATGATCAGTAATTAAGTAGTATAAGTTTGCTTAACCGCGTAATTTTTCCTTTTTTATATTTTCAATGTCAAAAACAGAAAGGAGGCGAATCCATAAAAATGTACATACAATGGTAGAGAAAGGGTGAGGAAAAAAATACCTAAATACACAACTTATTTTATCATATTCTCTAAAAAAATTTACTATTTGAAAAAATTACAAAAATCCCTATTGTCTCCCTACTCTTGGATGCATCACTTTACGGCGATGTATCGGTCGGATACATCACTTTACACGATGTATCGAGATGTTGAGTGATTTATTCGAAATCGAGACGCAATGTATCGGGACGTTGATCAATGTATTCGAAACCGGAACGCGATATAACAAGAACGTTTTGAGATGTATCCGGATTCCACCAAATTTAAGGGATTTTTGTAATTTGATTAAGAATTGGAATATAAAGTAATTAATTTTTAACACTATGAAATTTGTGTAAAATTTCCGTTTAATGGACATAAAAATAAAGAATGGTCAAGGATAATTAATTTGATTTTTGCGGGTAATTATGTAAGTATCCCAATTTATATCCAAAAGTTGAGCTAATTTTCAGCCAAGATTGTGCCCAATTTTGGCTGAGACCATAAAATCACCAATTGACCCATTTCGATACCCAACAATCCAATCCAATCCAATTCTTCTCTTCGCATAAAAACTCCTTGTATCGAAGCCGAACTCTAAATTTATTTGATACCTAAACTCGCCACATAGTACCTTTTGAGGGCACATGAAAGGGCCCAATACATATTACCTAATTTTGAATTTTCTTAACGCGACTCATTTGACGATTCAATACATATTTTTTACATTTTCAGATTATGAACAATCATAACACCTCAACAAACTCATAGACTAATGTCTAAAAGGGAGATATCGATAGTAAATTGTACCCTTGTTGGGTGGATTTAAACTCGTAAGTTATTTAAAGGTTGGACTAACCATCCATGTGATCTTATTATAAAAGAGAAGAGTTATCACAGTAGACAAGTTGCTTCTCTAATTTTCGAAACTAAAAAGTTCATGGCAAGAAGACATTAGGAAATATTGCTGAAACAAATGAAATGTGATGATAAACTCGTATCGATAATTCATAAAAATAAAGTTATTGGTGCATTATAAAAACTAAAATTAGCAATGAACTTTGTCATTAATTCATTATTAAATTTCTTAACTAACATAAGTTTTCAATAATATATCATTAATCCATCTCTATATAAGATCAACAATGAATTTTTCGATTTAGCTACATAATTTGTCTGTAGTTTTTTTTTTTTAAAATAATAATAGTGTGTATATATATAAGTATAAATTGAAGTTATACAACATTTTATAAGTAACTTTTGATAAAAATGAGAGGTTTATAATCTTGAAAATAAAGCATATTGCATATTATAACAAATATTACCTGATATTTGTAGAGAATTACTTATTCTCATTGAATATTTACATCAAATTATGTTAAACTTATCATAATTAAGTGTTGGTGAAAATGCAAGTTAATCAACTATAGTTAAGTTTTTAAAAATTATATATAAAAAAAAATCATATCATGTATTTATTGATTTGATACATAATACAATAATTATTTATTATTTATAGTGTAGACCTCTTAGTATAGTAGAAACTAAGCAAAGAAAACATTGTAGTAGTGATTAATGACAAAACAAAAACATAGAATGTGTTCCAAAGCTACAAAAAGCCTTTTAAACCTTATTCACATTAATATGTCCCCATTTTACTCTGTCCCAAACTCTGTTTTCTCTCTTTCCCTTCTGCTCTGTTTCTTAGTAGTAAACACATCTTCTTTCTTATAATAATTAAAAAAACATGGAATTGGATGAATTACGTTCAATCTTGAAGAATTCAAGTGTGGACTTATGGAGTTTAATTGACACAGCCATTTCTGTAGCTATTCTTGATCATGGAAATGAGCTTCGCAGTCGAAGAGACGCCATTGTTGAGAAACTCTATGCTCCTCTGCTTTCTAACAATTCTAATTCTGATAGAAATTATGAAATCCCAAAAAAAATTGAGAGAAATATTGATGATGATCACAAGTTAAAAACAGAGGAAAAAAGTAATGAAGAAGATGTAGAGATCAACAAAATCCTCAGAATCAAGAACCATTTTGAAATCCCAAATCAGGTTTCTTTTTTAGTCTTTGGGTTTTGTCAAATTAAGTTTCGGGACTAACTCACACCCACAAAAACTAATTCAAAAAATTTGTCAAGGAGCCCAGGTTCTTGGCCCGGCCCGATGTGGAATCATCATTAGTTTTTGGGGCGTGACTTAGGCGTAACACCTAATTTGACGAGCTTCATTTACTTTTTGCTAAGATTAAAGTCCTTTTGGAATTTTCAGTCTGAGAATTGCTTGGTTGATCAGCTTCAAAGTCTTGCTGAAATGGACATTAATTTCAAAGTTCTTGAGGTAATTTAATTAACTATCATGATTTTACTATTATTATTATTTTATTTTTTTATATATATGTGTTTTATATTTTTAAGAAAACGGATATTGGAAGGCATGTAAATAAACTGCGAAAGCATTCATCAAATGAAGTAAGAAGGCTCGTTAAACTACTAATCAGGTTTCTTTCCTTCTTCTTAACACTTTTAATTTTATTTTCTTCTGTATAATTAACTTAAATTAAATATAGAACCAATTTTTGGGTAATTTTATAGGAGATGGAAAGATATTGTTGATGAATGGGTGAGATTAAATACACTAGTGGAAGACACAGGTACATAATCATAATATTAGACAACATTTTAATTTTCCATCACTTGGTGATGAAATTATTTAGAACAATCATTAATTTTTATTTGAAAACTTTTAAAACTCTTCAAGATGATTTCAAAGATGGAGTGAATATTTCGAATGGTTCATCATCTTATTGCGATCATAAGGTATTTATTATTTTAAAAACAATATTTTTTTAATTCCAATTTATTATCGTTCGAATTTTGTAAATATTAACCGTGAAATGAAAATAGCATAGCGTAGAGAAGAAGAACAGCATTAGTCCATCGTCAAAACGCCTACGTGAGGATTACCTAGAAGAACATTATGGTATATATTGTTTGTTTTTTTAATAAAAGACAATTGTCATTAATTACTTATTTATTATTGTTGCATTTAGTTTTTTTTTTTTTCTACAAAAGCCAAAATAAAAAAAGAAGTAAAGAAATAAAGTTTCTAAATATGGCATATTTGGCTTAAAATAGTGGTTACTTTTTATATGATACTAAAAGCCAAAATAGGAAGGAGTAGAGAAGTGGACCTTGAAGACGTAGGCAAACCCAAAAACTCAGTGGTTGCTAACAGCATTTCTGGATTTGAAGCAAAATACTGGTAGACAATTAATTCCCCTACTATATAGACTGCAAGTGGTAAGTAGTACCATTTATTTCATAAACATAATTATTGCATTTTGACTTTTAATTTAGTTGATCACATCCTTTCAATAAAACTCTTTCTGGTAAAATTGTTTCACCCTTAATTAGATGTTTTGAGTTTAAATCTTGGGTATGAATTTTTTTTTTGTTGGAAGCGTCACCCCCGAATAGACCCTACAGTGCATGAGATCGGATTTGGTCTAGGCTTCAATATGAGCTCTGGGCACTGATTGGGGAACCAAAGAAAAACTCTTCATTTTTGAAAGAAAATTTTTTATCGCTAATAAAGTTAGTTTAGTATTCAAGCATCGTCAATAAAATTAGTTTAATAAGATATACATCTAATTAAAATTTTCTAAAGGGGTGTATCGGGTCAACAAGGGCTAAGAAAATAGGTAATGACGGAGTAGTACATATAACTTCTTGGTTACATAAAAATCCACCCATGCTATAGTGCTTAATGAAATGAGTGAGGACTTAAAGAGTTAGGTTCAAATTCCAGTCTTCTTATCTATTTTAACTTTGATGGACAAAGTAACTTGATGTTGATGAAAAGTAAAAAGATTTCCTATAAAATTAATTAAAGTGTGTGTAAATTTGTTCGAATACCATAATTTTCTGATCAAAAGAATTTTTCCTATGGATAAATTTGGAAAAGAACAATATAAATAGTATTTTCTTGATGATGTGAAATACCATTCATTTTGAATTAAAATAAAAAAGTAAAAACATCACGTATTATGACCGGATGGATGGTATGGCACTACTCCATACAGTTCATGAACTTATGGCCTATGGGAGTATATATTATCAACTTTGCAGGTACAAACACTTGATGCAATTGAGAGAAGCAAAGACTAAATCTACCAAATGATGTACATGCCAAGTTCTTATGAGGATATATATAATTGGTGTTATGTAACTTTGTCACCAGTCATGTACACATGCAATGGACTGAGCTAAGTCACATGACATTAACTGACTCTAAGAAAGAAGAAAAGAAGTTTGATAAATTATTGTGACTTCTAGTACTTTTTATGTAGTTTATAAATATATAAATTTTATTTCAAAAAAATTTGAAGATTTATGTGTAAATTCTCGATCAAACCTAAACTGTATTGTTTGACTCTCGAAAAACGAGACGTGTCACATAATTTGAGACATGGAATATTATTTAATTTGGACTCCAGCCATGTGATGCATTAGTTGATTAGTGAAGTTATTGTTGTGTTTTCATGACTAGATGCATTGCTCTTCTTCATGTGGACTACTAGCTACAAGATACTTATATAGTAGTAGTAGTTGCTTTGTAGCTAAAGCCTATAGGGGATGGGGGATAATATGGAAGCCACTTCACTATATGCAAGTGTACATATTTTATTATTTTATGGAAACCCTACCTTGTATATGGAAGCCACTTCACTATATGCAAGTGTACATATTTTATTATTTTATGGAAACCCTACCTTGTTCATGATTAGGACTAGTAGTTTCTATTTGACTATATGGAGTTCTTGTTTAATATCTACTCTATGAAGAGTATATGTTCTTAGTAAATAAGTTCTAGGAGCTTGTTATAGGGTTATTTATTTTGCACAAAAGTGAGATATTATGGTGATGCTATATCTATATTTAAAAATTATCTTCAATTGTAGTATTTGTGTGAAAATGAGTCTTTTTAAATCTGATAAGTGAATTTCAAACAGAAATATCCTTAAGTTAAGCGCCACAGATGAGACATGAACTAATTAAAATTGATAAATTACCATCTACAAGTCATGAGAGATAGATCGATATGACTTTATACTACATTTAAAGCTAGCCTATATCCATAACATATGTAAAAAAATGATCTTTTATGTAGAGTAGATCTCAACAATTTCTAACTAGAAGCTCAGAATTCCTACCTAATGAAATGATAAATGATAATTGGAGGGACAAAATCATGATTTGAATTTTAAAAATAAAGATGAAATTTGATTTAAAATTATTCAGTTCGATTGAATTTATAACTGATAAACTAGCATCGCCCCAATGATAACAACTTGGAAAAGAAACAATTGAAAGGCAATATATAAAGTGGGTGGAAATGGTTTTGACCTCTAAGGATAAAAAGAATGTGCGGTCAAAACAAAGTTGGATCCCAATTACTATATCTAAAAGATAATTCTACTACTGTTTGGCCTGGATATATATATATATATATATATATATATATATATATATAATAATAATAATAATAATATTAATTAGTGGAATCGTACCCTCTCTGTTTTTCTTTCAGGACGTTAATAGGAAAAAATAATAATATCGATTCGTGAAAAAGAAAACTAACATGACTTTGAAATAACTTTGAAAATAACGATAACAAATGGAATTCAAAGTAACGATTAATTAGTTCATCTATAATAAGATGGAAATATCTTGACCATTGCATGTTTGCTTAACTACCAAATATGGGGTACGTAATATAAATTATCAAAAAATAAGATCACTACAATTGATTTTGGAGATTCTTCTCCTTATTTTTAATCGTTCTTTTAAATAAATAACCTTATTAATTGTTGTTTTGATAAAATAAAAAAAAACACATTAGCATATGCATTTCTTGCACTTCTTTTTCAAATTCAAAATCTAACCTTCAATGAAAAAGTTGATGATATAACATGTCAACTTATGAAATTATTTAGTACTTTCCCTTTTTTATTCGCGGTCCAAGTTGGGCAATCTAGTACCAGTAGGCTATCTCTCTTCTTTGATTTAGGTAGTTCAAAATCAGCATGTGTACCAATATATAGACAATCTTCTCTATACATATAATTAATGTTTTATCGAGAGGGCCCATGAGGCCAGTAGCGGATCTAGAATTTTCGTTCAGGGGGTTCGAAAAATAAAAGTATAAACGTGTATATAAGCCAACAAAACAAAATTTCAAGGAAGTAGTAGTATATAGTTTTAGTGGTGGATCCTTGATTTTTTTTTGGGTTTAAAATCACACTTTTAGCATGTTTTATAAGATAAAAAAACTAAAAAAAAATGTGAAAAACGGAACTGAAAATAAAAAATAAAAAAATAAAACGTTAACACAAGGATTTGAACCCTTGACATAAAGGTTAATTTCAAGGGGACCTACCACTAGGCTATTAGTTTCTCCTTGTCATTAAAGGGGTTCAAAATATATATATCTACATAAATACAGAAGATTACCTTATATATATAGTATAATTTTTTGTCGAGAGGATTCGGGTAAACCCCTGGAACCCATGTGGATCTGCCCTGCATGAGGCCATGACAACCACGTAGGTACGCCCCTAAACATAAATGTTAGAATTAAGATCACGTAAAAACACTCACCAATCATAAGAAAGATCGAGAGTTTTCATTTTCAAATCACACAATCATGATAATTTCTTTTGTGTACTTGACTTTCATCAACTTCAATCTCCAGAATCATATTTGAAAGTCACTCAACTTAATTAAATATTAATTTTTTAAATAAAATTTGTTGACATAATTTTTTTTATATAAAACTAAAATTTTTGAAAATAAAAAGATATTTATTTAAATCATTTAATGACTTGTCATGTTAAAAAAAATCTTGATGTAATTTAAATATATATGTAGAAATAAGCATTACAATTTACAAGTGTCACATGGAATAAAGTCGAAAATTTGTCAATAACTAAACTTACTTTACTTTTTGAGAATGACAAAACGACATGAATGTGCATTCAAAACGACGTTTGGGAATGAAAAAAAACTGTTGCCTCGTTTTTTCCATTTTAGGCAAAAAAGGAAGCCAGAACCCTCTTCTTCTCCTTCTATCTGTCATTGCCAATTCTGGAACTCCATTTTTGAAAATCCCACTTTTCTCCCTCAAATCCCCAAAACCCCCAAATTATTCGAAACCCTAGGCATTTCTCTTCTCCCCATCGCACATTACACAACACAATCATCTCCTACACAAACCTCTATGTATATACACATTTGAGGATTTGATCCAACCAGAACAAATTTACGATTTTGCCCCGCCGGAAAATGGCGTCAACGAAGCTGATGGCTTCATCGGCCTCGCGGAATTCCGATCGAAGGAAATCGTCGGCTGCCTCGTCGTCTTCATCCTCTACGATGCCGAATGATTTGCACAATCAGCAGTATTCGAATAACGGGAGTAATAATAGTAGTAATTTGGAGGCGACTTCCATGACGGTTGATGGAATTTTCCGTAATGTGTATGGGGAAGGTCAGGGGACGGAGACTAATACTTTGTTGAATGCGAATATTACATTACTTGATGCTGTTGGAGCGATAACGCCGATCAGTGATTCCGAGACAGCGACGGTGAGTGGGGTACCTTTGGTTAGGAGGACGGTGGATGATGTGTGGAGGGAAATTGTGGAGGGGAAGAGGGAGCAGAGAAGAGCGGAAGTTGCCGGCTGTAAGGAGGAGGCAGTGGATGAAATCATGACGCTGGAAGATTTTCTGGTGAAAGCTGGAGCAGTTGAGGAGGAGGCACTGGCTGGGCAGGGGCCAGTGCAAGGTGAGGTGAAGGTTGAACTAGGAACTGAGAGGTTGAGTGGTGGAATTTTTGCATTTGATTCCCCATATATGGCCACGCCGCAGCAGAGCGTGCAAGGATATGGAAATGGAATGGATGTGATTGGAGGTGGGAGAGGGAAGAGGAAAACCATTTTGGAACCTTTAGATAAGGCGGCTCTGCAGAGGCAGCGGAGGATGATTAAGAACAGAGAGTCAGCTGCCCGGTCTAGAGAGCGGAAACAGGTAAATTGAAGTGATCACTCTTAGTCTTTTCATCTATTTAGCTTTTTGATTGTGCGAGCTGAATTTGGATTTTTGTTTATGGATATAGGCTTATCAAGTGGAACTTGAGTCAATAGCAGTTAGATTAGAGGAGGAGAATGAACAGCTGTTGAAAGAGAAGGTAATGCATTTTAATAATTTCCGGCAGTTAGGCCTATGTCTAAATTTAAGATGACAATTGAATTACTTGCATAAAGGTATATGGAAGAATACCTGTTTGCATTGCTTGTTCTGGGACTCTAAATTCATTCAGGGGTCGTTTGGTTGGGAACTAGTTATCCTAGGATTAACTATCTTGGGGTTAGTTATATCCTGGGATAACGTATCCCACCATGTATATGGGATAACTTATCCCATCACTATGCTATAAATGATGGGATAAGTTATCCCAAACATGTCAACCAAACAAGACATCTAAATTTTATCCCAGGACTATTTATGCTTATCCCTCACACCAAACGAGCCCTCAGAGAATGAAGGTTTAATGCTAATTCAATTGGTTTGGTATATCATATATCAGCTTCTTAGCATAGCGAATAAGAGATAGTCATTTGTCTACTGCCACATCTGTTATATATTTTAAAGACAACACACCAATAGTCTAATTTTGCAGCTGCAAGTTTCGATTTTTTCTATAATTTTTCAAATTTGTATGTGTCGTCTCCATAGGCTCACTGAATCACTTTCTTTTAGATCTAATAAAAGCGCATTAACAATGAAATAGGTGAACAAGGAGAATGGTTGAGGAGGGGAAAGTCTTCCTTATGTGAACTTGATGAAAATCAATCTTCGTGACTTTTGGTAAAAAAAAGATGAGCACTTTATTATAAACACATTCCCAAGTAAAAAGAAAAATTGAAAGTGGGATTCTCCAGTAGTGCTGCAGGTGCAGGATGCTACTTCTAAGAGGATGATATAGTGATATTTTGTTTCATCTATTCCAAAGATTTTAGTTCAAAGTATGATCTTTCTGATGGAGTATATCCTAGCATCTGGATTGTCGTGCTTATCAATCATTTACAAGTACTTATTGTGGCAAATTGTTGGTTCCAGTTCTCAAAGGGAATTGAGTATTATTATTTGCAAAAAACAAAAAAAAAAACCCATATTTTTTGTCTTGTGTTCTCGATGGCTGTATGTCATAGTAAAAACACGCTTTTATGTTAGGATGTTCTTTATAAACTTGTAAGTCATATGAAATGGTGGCAAAGGAAATGTCATAATTACTATTTAAGGGTCGTTTCACGAACTAGATGTAGGGACTACAATACAAGGATCGTAATGCGACAATTAATATGTAGAGCTTGTTATGGAGTGAATAATGCAGGGATTTTCCTACAATGAATAATAATACAATTATACTAGAATTGTCTTATTTAGGACATTTTTGCCTTTAGATACTTCTTATACAGGTGTTGGTAATACACATACTCTCGTTCTACATTCTATTCACATATATAAGTTATGGCAATATTAATAATACAATATTTAATGCCGGAAACCAATTTAGGCTATGCAAGGTTTATCATAAATCAAACCTTGTTTGTTTGGATGGTTGTTATGTATTGTTTCATAATGTGTCATATTGTATTCTACTCCATAGTTTTAATGAATACAACATTTGGATAGATTGTATCGTTTTCCATCATTACATATATCACACATCAACAATTTGAAGGATAAACCTACAAGAGAAGTAAGGGATATGGTAGAGCCACTATAAAAAGGTATGGTAAAGGATAAAATAGTATTATTAAATTATAAGTAAAGACAAAATGAGAGAAAAAAAGGGTAACGACGTGATCACACCAAATCTATCGTTTCACAAAAGGAAACTTTTCATCGTTACCTATGATGGATTTAACGATACGATACAATAAAATTTAAGTAACAATCAAAACAGACATTGTATCTAAACTAACAATACAATATAGTACAACATGTAACAACCATCCAAAACTAGCTGTGAGTTATTCAGAGATTACCTTGGTAATGCAAACTTTTATGTTGCATATGGAACATTGTACTATAAATCATATGTAATTTTGTACGGGAATTATTTTTCGTTTTGCAGCCCATTAAAAAAACTCTTACTTGATTATGAGCGCTTCCAAAGATATATGAAAGGACCAATATATGCAAATGGAATATTGGTATGACTGTAAAAATACTTGGGGAAATATTGATGTATTGGTGATCTTGAAGTGGAAGTTCAATGATGGTCTTCTGTTCTTCTTGGACTGCCTAAAAAAACTATTTGCTTATAATATTTTTGAGGATAGCTAGCCTTCTGTAAAGTGGTATGACTTATGAGCATCAAATTGTGAGAAATATATGAGAATAATATTATTGAATTGTTGTTGTTTACATTATTACATTGAGACCCTAGAATACAATCCTTTACCAAGTAGGATACTATTTAGTATTCCTATTTCTATTTCTATTCCTATTCCTGTTCTAATAGGATTGTATAAACTTATTCCTATTCTAATAGGATTGTATAAACCTATTCCTATTCTAATAGGATTGTATAAACCTATTCCTATTCTAACACTCCCCCTCAAGCTAATGCATACAATTCATGTACCTAGCTTGTTGCAAATGTAATTAACACGAGGACCGATGAGGGGCTTGGCGAGATATCTGCAAGTTGATCACTCGACTTCACAAATTTGACAATCAATCTCAATGGGCTTGGTCTTCTTGAAATACTGAATTTGATGCATAATGCTGATAAAACAGAGAGTGATAAAATTACAGTGTTGAACTTCCCAAACCAAGCTTGCAAAGACTGTTTCAGACCATAGAGTGACTTACGTAATCAACATACAAGGCTACTAAACTCCCCATGAACATCAAAATTAGGTGGTTGCTCCATATAGACTTCTTCACAATGCAACGGTCGTCGAAAATGCTCAAAATCTAGTATAAAGTGTATGGATCATGTTGGAATCAATAGACGTGTCAATATTTAACAAGAAAGTCATCGAAAAACTGGCCGGAACATGCTCATATGCTAGAGTATTAGATTTGATGGATAAAAGTGGTCACAATCTAAGAAATAAAATTATATGGGTAGGGTCGGAATGATGTCACGACCCAACTAGAAAATAGAAATTATATAGGATAGTTCGAATTGATGGAACGAACCCCATTGATAAAGAGAAATAATATGGGTAGGGTCGGAATGATGACACAACCCTACTGAAAAAAGAAAATTATATGGGTAGGGTTGGAATGATGGCACAACCCTACGCAAATCAGATTTGAGGAGTCACCGGAAAGACAAATGGAACTATGCAAATCAAATCTGAGGAGTCACTGAAAAAACACATGATGCTATGCAACTCAGATATGAGAAAGTAGTTCGGAATAATCCACGGTACTACAAAAATTAAATATGAAAAGTAGTTCGGAGAGATGCACGGTGCTATGCAAATCAGATATGCAAAAATAATAAGTTGTCACCGGAAGGATGGCACGGTGCTACACAAATTAAATATGAAAAAGTAGTCACCGGAATGATGGCACGGTGTTACACAAATTAGATATAAGAAAGTAGTCACCGGAATGATGGCACAGTGCTACACAAATTGAATATGAAAAGGTAGTCACCGAAAAGATGACACGGTGCTACACAAACACCGATTGATATGTGGTTGATACAAACAACCCTAGAAAGTCATCAAAAATTGACGCACGATGACTTGCCTGACTAAGTTTTCTTCCCCTGAATATGGGGTTCATGCATATATCATTGATCCTACTTTTATTAACATAATCATTGACCAGAAGGGCAACATATATGGGTAATAGCCACCCGCCGACAGCGAAAGCTCTTTGATTCTCTACCAAGATCGTAGAGGCTTTGATACCATGTGAGATATATATGAGAAGAATATTATTGAATTGTTTTTGTTTACATTATTACATTGAGACCCTATTTATAGACCCTAGAATACAATCCTTTACCAAGTAGGATACTATTTAATATTCCTATTTCTATTTCTATTCCTATTCCTGTTCTAATAGGATTGTATAAACTTATTCCTATTCTAATAGGATTGTATAAACCTATTCCTATTCTAATAGGATCGTATAAACCTATTCCTATTCTAACAATTACATCCTATTCTGTTGTTAGTTGGATAGTAACTGAAAGCATATAATCTTATACTGTTTGTTTTCATATGGTGAGCAGTCTCATGAAAATTAAAGTTGCTTTCTTTGGATTTAAAAAAAAAAACATTTTTAGACTAGATAGAAGTAATGGGTGATTTCCTTGTAAACATGGTTGGGTTTACCTTAGGTCAAGCAGTGTCACGTGACACTGCTTGGTTGGAAAAATTTACTAAATATATATATAATAAAAGCCAAAACAAAAATAGAGGATAAATTGAGTAAAATGACACTGCTTGCACAAAGAGCCACACAACTCATTTTGTCAGGGCCTTAGTTTTCAACAAAGGTGTCGCTAGTTCTAATCTTGGTGGCCTGATTTAGTGTTTAAAGTTTTTGCGCTTCAATCTACAAAGTGATACATGTCCAGATTCGAACCTTTGACCTCTTGGTAGTTAACCTCTTGGTAGTTAACAAAATGTTGAACCAATTACTCCAGAGTTGCATCAAGAAACTTTAGCGTATTTTACGTATTGAGAAAGATGTTGCTTCTTCCCTGATTAGTTGTGTTGCTGTATGCTTTCTCTTTTCTTCTTTCCTTTCATCTTCTTTCTTTCCAATGATATTGATTTAAGAATGATTTGTGGAATTAAATGAACTATTTAGTGATAGTTTGATGCCCTATATAAAAGTGTTTGGTACTATTTTGAATACAGTTAAGAAAACGAAAAAACTCATCGAGAAGAGGTATTAATATACTTGAGTTGTCTTTTATATATATTTTGTTCCTATTTAATATGTTGTTACATTATTTTATTTACTTGTTCTCATTTTAAAATGTGACACCGCTTACGAAAAATCTTGCGTACGCCACTGCTTATAAGGGTAATTGTTTACTGATGCATTAGGTAACCATTGCTTCTTCATGGTCCTTGACTAGGCATTTTGGGGGGGGGGGGTGTGCTTGGTGATGAGGTCGAACTTATCTTAGCTAGAAAAGGGTTGACTGTAACATTTGACAATCGAGTTTGAGCAGTGCTGTAACATTTTGTAAGCACTTAATATTTCCACTATGTGTTTGTCTGCTTTTCCGTATGTAATCCTTTTGTTGATTTGATTCTTTGAGTAACACAAGTACTTCTCTGCAATTTTCAGGAAGAGCGAACCAGAGCACATTATAAGCAGGTAACTTTTGTTGCTATTCTGTTCCCTATTTGTTGCTGTTGTATGGTTCATTGATTTTTCTTATGTCAAGCACTTTGATTGGAGAATTTTTTGCAAAGATTCATCCGCACGATCCCTTTGTTTCTAGCCATATATCACGTAATTCATATCAATGCCAGCAAAAATATCTGAATGGTCAAAGAACTGCTAGGTTGATACTTGAAATAATGAGGAAGTCTAGATCAATGGAAAGAGAAGTACACTATGCATATGTGGTTAGATGAAACAAGACATAGTGGTGGTAGGGGTTAGTGTTCAGTTCTTCGGTTATTTATTACTCCCTCCGTCCCATTTTATGTGTGGTAGTTTGACTCGGCACGGAGTTTAAGAAAGAAAGGAAGACTTTTAAAGCTTGTGGTCTAAAATGAAGGATAAAAATTTGTGTGGCGGTAAATCATTTCATTAAGGGTAAAATAGACATTTTATAGTTAAATTGTTACTTAATATAGAAATGTGTCATTCTTTTTGGGACCGACTAAAAAGGAAAGTAAGTCACATAAATTGGGACAAAGGGAGTAGTACATACCGTATACTGATGCAAAAATAGCTGATCTCTGCCAGTACACACCTCTTTACCCATCAGTTTAATCTCATTAAGCCAAAAAACTTTAAATCTTTGTTTATTTTTTGTAGTTACTACTAGACACTGGTCATAATTCTATCCATAATTATTCTTTTTACTTTCTCCTTCCTTCATGTACATTATTCCACTTTGCTGCTATCAAATGCTTTAGTCTCACTGTGTTTTCATTCTTTTATTTTTATTTTTATTTTGTTTTTGTTTATAAATACACGACTAAGAAAAGCGAATTGGATTTGAACGAAACTTGGGAAACAAAATAGATTTCAAATGAATATATTCTCCTGTTCTAATTCTTACTTGTTTGGTTTCAAGTTATATTTTGATCCAGTAAATTATATTAGTTTAAGCCCCTTTTTAAAATTTATTGAATGAGCCATTTTAAATTCAAATTATTGGGTCAACTCAACAATAGATCATGATTCAACCCGTTAAAATATTGAGTGAATTGGATGAATTATGTAGGTTTTGATTAGGGGTGACAAATGGGCGGATTGAAAATGGATTGGATTGCTATCCATCCATACGAATATGTGTAAAAATGGATTGGGTAAGATAAAAATTGGGTAAAATGGTCCTAATCCACTTTAATCTTCTAAACCCAAAAAATTAAACATTAAACTGGTCAGCCGAGTATTCTTTGTATGCAATTTGCTAACTGAAAATTTGAAATTTTCAACTTTCAACTGGTGCCTTAATTTCTTTCTCTGCATTTGTCTGGCCAGTGGTCTCTGATCACTTCATAAATACTACAAAAAGAAGAATGAGTCAGAAATACAATAACAACAACATACCCAGTGAAATCCCACAAGTGAGGTCTGGGGAGGGTAGAAGGAGTCAGAAATGATAAAGGAAAAAAAGATATTTTAAAAAAACTACTGTAAGTGCAACACAACTGAGCTTGGAGCATATCACGCCCCCAGTGAGACATAATTGATATAAATCTAACTACAGAGTAAATGACTCAGCATTTTGACCTTTAAATAAATAAAAATGTGTGCTTTAATGTGGTCTACCGCCAGCTGCTTGATCAATAAGTTATGAAATACCGTCAAGTTATGTGTGACTTGTGTGTTATCAATATAATCTAACAAACAATGTTTATTGCAATATCTGATGCAAATAAAATGTGTTCACTTTCAATAAATTTAAATGAAAAAAACAGCTCAAAAATATATTAAAAAATTACTTTGAATCCATCCCAAATTAACGGAACAATTTTGTCATTTTCTCTATGCAACAACCGACAAAAGTGGAGTTTAGTTGGGTGGGATAGTAGTAGTAGGGATTAATGGTGTAGGCAGCAGCGGAGCTAGGGTGGCAGGAGGTTCATCGGAACCCCCTTCACCAGGAAAGTATACGGTATACGTAGGGTCTAATATGATACTTATGTGTGTATATTGCATATTGAACCCCCTTGGCATAACTTGAGAATCTATTTGGAATCCCCTTGATGAAAATTCTACCTTCGCCACTAGAGGTAGGGGGTGGATTAAATTAAGAAGGATAATTTGAATCAAAATCTGTAAATATTTGTTCATTGGTTAACGTTTTCCAAATTTTATCTTGAGAATGTAATCAAGTAGAGATTAGTGGTTTATCCATTTGGGTCCATGAAATATGACAGATTCATTTCTGAGTTCAAATATAAATACCCATATTTGTCCATATTTTTATGGTTTAAAAATAAACTGAAATCTATATTTACCCATTTGAAATATAAATGATCCAACTCATTATAATATGAGTTAAATGGACTGATTTTATAAATATGGGCAGAAATTGCCGGCTCTTATAATCTGCTCAAACTATAAACTAAACAAACTACTCATACCTCATGTGTTTCCCAATCATCTCCTATACATTCTAATAATTAGTAATTAATACTCCCTCTGTTCAACAATAGTTGTCCACTATACTATTTTGGGATGTCCAACAATATTTGCCCACTTTATGAAATCAATGGATAATTTTACACTTAGTTCCTAATTTACCCTTATCATTAATTAGTCATTTTCCTATTACATTTTTTAAGACATTATATTTATTATATTCAAAGGATGATACAGTAAAATTACTCTTTTATTTATAGTTTCTTAAGAAGTGTGCAAAGTCAATAGTGGACAACTATTGTTGGACAGAGGGAGTACAAAAAAGATGAAAAAATTGCACAATGCAACTGGACTTAACCACTTGACTTTGACAATTAGAGGAATAGAAGCCCATCAGCTTATGATAAATGGGTGACGACTTCTCCTTATTTATTTCATTATAAGGAGAAGTCGAGAAGGTTTAGTTCTCATTTCCTTTAGTAATATCTATTCAATGTTTTGGGAGTGCTTTCATCTTCCAATACTTAATGTTGTCTTAACTCTTAAAATGTCTATGTTCATCTAATCAATCAAGCTAATCAACTCAAGTATTTTTATCTTAATGAATACCAACATTCTCATCCTTTCTCTCAAATAATGGAGAATCTAAGGAGTTGTAGTTTTGAATAGTTATTTGCTAGAAATAAAAAATGTGCTTTTTGATGTGGTGGTCAAGCAGCAAGAAGATATACTTTTGGTGTGCGGATTACTTTTGAACTAATCTGAAATTATATATCACTTTCTTATTAAATGATCAATTTTTATTTTTTTTAGACAAGGGTAACTTTGTATTCACACCAAAAAATTCATCATCCAAAAAATGATGAATTGGAAACTTACATCCCACCCATGGGTATACTTTACAAGTTTCCTTTAAAATCAACTAAGTCTACTATATCCCCTACAAGATTCTGTTTACACCAAAAAAACAAAAGGCTTATACAATTCATTCTAATCTTCTGTAAGTTAGTCTTTTGTCCCTCAAAACTTCTTAAATTTCTTTCTTTCTAGAGAGTCCACCATATGCAAGCAGGAATAGTTCTCCACCAGTGTTCATTTCTCCCTCTGTTCCCAATACCTTTCCAGCTATTTAGTAGTTCCTTTGTTGTGCTAGGCATCACCCATTTAACTCCCAACAGAGCCAAAAACATGTTCCATAGGCTCAATGCTGCCTTACAATGAAGGAACAGATGGTCATTGACTTTGACTTCTGCTTCCTGTTCACACATGACACATCTTGAACAATTTTTTTTTTTGATAAGGTAACTTTATATTCACATCAAAACTCATCAGCAAAGCCTGATGAGGTGGGATTTACAGCCCCCAGGGGGTAATTTCAAAAGCCAAAAACTGGGCAAAACTTTACAATTGAGCTTTAAAATCCACTAAGCTATCTACCTCCCCCACCAAATCCTGTTTACACCAAAAATACAGCAGGCCCAAGCTATTCATCTTGATTTTCTGAGTGCTGTTAAGTTTCCCATCATGTGATCTTTCATTTCTTTCCTTCCACAATGTCCACCAGATGCAGGCTGGGATGCATTTCCACCAGTCCTCTTTGGATCTTCTTCTTCTGCCCACTCCTTCCCACTGTCTCAACAACTCTAAAGTAGTTTTGGGCATTACCCAGTTAATTCCAAGTATACATAAGAACATGTCCCACAGATTTGCAGCTGTTCTGCAGTGTAAGAATAAATGACTATTAACTTCTGCCTCTTCCCCACACATGAAACACCTTGAGCAAATCCGTATACCTCTTCTTTGTAACACTTCATGAGTTGGACATGCTTTCCTAATTGCCAACCAAATAAAACCTGAGACCTTGTGGGGAACCTTGATTTTCCAGATTAGTTTCCAAGGCCATTCCATTTCCATAGCCTGGTTAGAGTTTAAGCTCCAGTAACAAGACTTCACAGAAAAAATCCCTTTCTTGTGCATTTTCCAGATTGGAGTATCAGGACTTTCAGTGACACCTGGAAAAGCATTTAGTGTGTGTAATAATCCTGCTACTCTATCAACCTCCCAGTCATTTAAAGCCCTCCTAAAGATCAAATCCCAACCTTGAGGGCTCCACACTTGTGCCACAGTGTCCATCTGTTGTAGGCTCAATACATAAAGATCTGGGAACATGATCTTCAAATTCTCTTCCCCTAGCCAAAGTTCATTCCAGAAACTGGTTTTCACCCCATTCCCAATCCTAAAGGATAGATTGGGGATAAAGGATGGCCACAGTCTTCTGATTGTCTTCCAGACAGAGCAACCAACGGTACCATTTGCTTCTTCAGTGATCCAATTGTTTTGGAGACCATATTTTTGTGATATGAATCTCCTCCACAAAGCCATATCTTCACTACAGAACCTCCATAGCCATTTTTTCAACAAGCTGATATTTTGCATATTCAACTTCTTTATACCCAAACCACCCTGCATTTTGTTGAGTGTCACTACATCCCATTTAACCAGATTATACCCAAGCTTCTCTTTATTTCCTTGCCACAGGAAGACTCTTCTTGATTTGTTGATTTTCTTCTCTATACTTCTTGGTATTGGGAATAGGCTCATCATATAAGTAGGAAGTGCATCCATCACAGATTTGATAAGAGTTATTCTGCCTCCCAAGGATAGATATTGGCTTTTCCACCTTGACAGCTTCTTCTCACATCTTTCCAGTACTTCATTCCAAACTTCCACCTCTTTGTTCTTAGCACCAAGGGGCATTCCAAGGTACTTTGTTGGGAGGGAGGCCACCTGACATCCTAGGTTCTCAGCTAGCACCTGCATATTAGCAACCTGATTAACTGGGTATAAACAACTTTTATGCCAATTGACATGGAGTCCTGATATTCCCTCAACGATGGTTAAGATGGCCCTCAAGTGTCTTATATGATTTACTTCAGCTCCACAGAAGACCAAGGAGTCATCTGCATAAAGCAGGTGTGAGATCTCCATAGCATCTCCCCTATTTGCATTTGCACTGTAACCTTGCAACCACCCATTTTCAACTGCTTTCCTGATCATGGAGTTGAGACCCTCCATAGCTAAGATAAATAGGAATGGTGACATGGGGTCACCTTGTCTCAAACCTCTTTGTGACTGAAAAAACCCTTCAGGATTGCCATTAATGATAAGGGAGAACTTCACAGTAGATATACAGACCTTAATCCAGTTGATCCATTTGTTTCCGAAGCCCATATCTCTCAGAATCTTCAAAAGGAAGGACCAATTTACATGGTCGTAGGCCTTCTCAATGTCCAGTTTGCATAAGACTCCTGGTAATTGCCATCCCCTTTTCTGTAAAGCCTCATGTGTTAAACAAGCCTTTCTACAAACCAACCAACAAAAACAAGCTACCTTTGGGGGGCATTTGGTCTTCCAGATTAACTTCCAAGGTCAAATGTTCACCATTGACTGCCTTGTGTTAAGATTCCAGTAACATGATTTCACTGTGAACAGACCCTTGTTATGTAATTTCCATCTAGGTTTGTCAGGCCTCATAGATAAAGCAGGGTGTGAGTTTAGTACTCCCAATAGGCAAGCAATTTCCCAGTCATTTAGTGCTCTTCAAAAAACAAGGTCCCATCCCTGTTGACTCCAAGCTTGGGATAGACATTCCTTTGCGTACTCAAAATGTAAAGATGTGAAAAGGAGTTTCTAAGACTGTCTTCTCCAATCCACACCTCGTTCCAGAAATCAGTTTTCAAACCATTTCCAACAGTGATTGACATGTTGTTGTTGAAATAAGGCCATAATCTTCTTATGGTTTTCCAGACACTACACCCAAAGGTTCCCGCAACCTCCTCAGTTGTCCAGTGGTTGAGTAAACCATACTTTCCTGCTATGAATCTTCTCCAAATGGCCCTCTCTTCTGAGGAGAACCTCCAAAGCCATTTCTGCAAGAGAGAGGTGTTTTGTTTGCTGAGGTTCTTCAAGTTGAGCCCCCCTTGTTGAGTGTTGAGAGTCGGTTCATCCCATTTCACAAGGTTATAACCTCTCTTCTCCTTGTTTCCTTGCCATAGAAAGGCTCTCCTAACTCTATTGAGTTTTTTTTCAATGCTCTTTGGTATGGAAAAAAGGCTCATCATGTATGTAGGCATGCCATCAAGAACTGACTTGGTGAGAGTCAATCTGCCCCCTAAAGAGAGATATTGACTTTTCCACCTAGATTGTTTATTCTCGCACCTTTCCAACACCCCACTCCACACCTCTAATTCTTTGTTTTTAGCACCTAGAGGCAGTCCAAAATATTTAGTTGGTAAAGAGTCCACTTGGCAGCCCAAAATAACAGCCAGATCTTGCAAATTTCCAACCTGGTTGATAGGAGAAATGTGACTTTTCAGCCAATTTACATGGAGACCTGAGATACCTTCAAAAATTGTTAGGATGGCTCTCAAATGCTTGATCTGACTTGTCTCTGCTTCACAAAAAATTAAGGCATCATCTGCATAAAACAAATGAGACACTTCCAGATCTTCACCTCTACCTGTCTGAGCACTGAAACCTTTCACCCATCTATTAGCATTTTGCTGTTCTGAGCATATGATTTAACCCTTCCATAGCTAATAAGAACAAAAAAGTTGACATGGGATCCCCTTGCCTAAGATCCCTGTGGGATTGAAAGAAGCCTTCTGTGTTGCCATTTATTATGAGGGAGAACTTCACACTGGAAATACAAAAACTGATCCATTTAATCCACCTACCACCAAAACCCATGTCTTTCAGAATTTTGAGGAGGAAATTCCAATTGACATGGTCATAAGCCTTTTCAATATCCAATTTACATAGGATTCCAGGTTGCTTTTGTTTAACCCTTGAATCAACTGGTTCATTAGTCAACAAGGATGCATCAAGTATTTGTCTCCCTTTCAAGAATGCCATTTGGTGTTCATCTACTAGCTTCCCAATAACTGTTTTAAGCCTTTCAGTTATGAGTTTAGAGATGATTTTGTAAACCCCTCCGATTAGGCTAATAGGTCTGAAATCTTTAAGCTCAACAGCTCCAGGCTTCCTTCCAACAAATCTTGGTTTTCTTCTAGTTTTTGCGTCATAAGGCGGTTGTACCATGTTCTATGGTTCTCCTATATTCCACCCGCTAGTTATATATTGGATTGTGATGGGGTATAAGCAACTGTATGGAATGATATCGCAATTGTTACCTCTATTATGGTGGTTGTACTTCTTTAGCAATAGAACCATTGTGTAGTTTGTCACTTTAGACTGTAAGGTAAACTTAAGTTAATATTGTGCGACACTGCTTCCCTGTTTGAGTATGCATGAGAATTCATGGCTTGTTAAAGCAGCTAATTTATGACATTATCATTAAGCTTATTAGTGCTTGGAAGAATAACATTAGCAATGTACTAATATAAAAAATATACATCAGCAACATGGCCAACGAAAGGGCAATTTTCCTCTGCTCTGGAACTACTGTCTACTAGCAGCACATTTAACATTTATTGACGTTGTTTTCCTGCAGATAATAGAGAAAGTGATTCCAGTTGTGGAGAAGCGAAAACCGCCTCGTGTCCTGCGAAGAGTTTGCTCCATGCAGTGGTAATATATCATTGTGAGACGGGCATAGTTTAAAATTAATGCCTTCTGATATAGATAAAGAGTAAAGGAGCCTAAACATGCTGGGGGTAAGTGATATAACATGAGGATGGATAATTTAGCGGATGATGATTCTTTCTGAGTGGTAGTGCTTCCTTTGTAAAGAGCAGTATCGTGGCCTGGAAAATCTATAACGGGATCTAATATTTATGTAGTGGAGAGGGAGTTCATCGAAATCAAAACAATTATTTAGTTAGTTGTAGTTATAGGAGGTTTAGAATGCAAATGCCTCACTTGTTAGATTGGATACACACAAGCATGGGAACGAGTGACTAATATTTTGTACTTTTTTTTGTCAATGGCTCGTTATAGCATTTGCTAGCAAAAATGATCAATGATATCATCTCATGATTTTCTCGTGTGCATCCCTATGCGTATGTTGGACTCTTTCATCATAAACAAGGAGCCATGTTAATTGGGGCTAACAATTTTAAGGAGGACAAGGATATTATTATTGATTTGTGTTAAAATTTGGAGCAAAAAAGGAAAAGGAGAAAAGTTTGAAGGAAGTCAGTTCGTTTGTAGTCCCTGGTACTTGGGACTGCGCTCATGATTAAAGGAAAAGTAAATACTTTAGTCCCCTCAATCTGTCACTTGTCTTGCCTCGCTATCATTTTATTTTTTGGTTTTGTTTGGTGTTTGGTATGTACATTGGGGTTTAGTTTTATTAGGGCCGCAAATTAGGTAGAAAAACTAAAGGCAGAATGATCTGATAGACCCTTGTACTTGTATGAGTTTGTATTCTGGACCATTCTACTTGATCATTTGTTAATTGAACCCCTTTCGTTGTGTGTGAACTTCAAACACTTGACAAAAATGACATATCATCATCCGCATCACTTATTATTATTTTAAAAAAAAAAAAACTATTTTATCTTTCTTTTCCACTTCATTCCTCCTTCATCCCTGCACCTCTCTCCATTTTATTTTATTTTTTACATTAGAGATACCACCACAGCCTTTCATTCTCACTAGTATCATTACATTCCTAAATAACTAACAATTATCATTCAAATTTTTTTTCGAAATTTCTTTCATTCACAACTTTAAATCGTATTTCTTTTACCAACATTTATATCTACCACTTGAACCACCATAAATCTCTTTTTCCCATTGATGTTAACGAATAGTCATTAAAATATATCAATATACTCTAATATTTGTACACAATTTTACATAACACATTTCACTTAATTTCACAAAGACATTCAACAATCACTTTTCATCTTTCAAGACTGTTGAATCTTTTATCACTTTATGAGTTATAAATTACCCCAAAAAAAAAAAAAAATACAAATCTACAACAACGATACAATTTTGTTCTATTCCCGAGAGGAAGAAAATGTGAAAAAAAAGACAAAGAGAGAAACAAGAAACTGGAAAGGGCCGGAAAGGGGAGAAAGAAGAGAAATGGGGGTTTGAGAGTAGAAAGAAAAAAAAGAAATGGGGATGGGTGGGGTGGGAAAAGAAGAAAGAACTGAAGAAAAAAAAAGTTTTTCACGCTCCTTCTATGCATGACATCACGCATTTGTGCCAACTCAATAATTAGTTGATACATAAGCTTAGTCAATGGTCAGAAGAGCTTAAAATATAGAGTTTCATTGAGTTTAAGGGTTCAGTTGACAAATAGTCAAATAGAAGGGTCCATCAGACCATTTCGCCAAAACTAAATTTGACAAACATCCCTGTCAAATTTACTAAATTTCATTATACTTAAAAATGATTACATAATTTCTCTCTTTGTCTCCTCCCCTTTCTCTCTCCCTCTTTCGCTACTTCTCTCCCCTCTTTTTGCTACGTAATTGATGTTGAACAATCGTTGAAGGACCACTAGTTAAAACATAACTACATCAAATGTATGTATTTGTGTAAACATATATGTATTTGAATAACTATATCTCTTGTATTCATCTTTTTCTAAGTATATATTTATGCATAAATATATTAAATACATTATAAATTTGATATCAAATAGATAAATTTATACATAAATACATTACATTATATATATATCAATACCCTCTCAGAACCTATATAATGTACTATGTACATATACACTTGATTTAATGCCTCACGCAGTCTAGACAAGGGCTTTTATAACCAAAAGCCAAAACATATACACCAAAGAATAGAGGACAAGTCATGTGTGCAGTGTGACAAATCTTAAATTGCATGCGTAATCTCCTACTTCCCTCTTCCTGTCTTTCTTCCCTATATTTGTTTGATGAATTTTATTTAAATATTTAAATTAAAACATATTCTAATTGAATATTTAAATATATGATAAAGTATTACTGTTATATTTTGAAAAAGTTTTTACGTTTTTCTTAAATGTCATTACAACGATAAATTATAAATATAAAAATATATTCCTCTATTAATTATACATTACACGTCAACATCCATTTGAACGTTTGAGGTTTTACGTCTTATTCTTCAAAATGTGTATAACTAAAAGAGAATAACATAATTTAAGTGGTTAACTTATTAGTGTGATGGGCATTTAGAATATGCACAAACTCTTTCAAAATATTGAATTAAAAATGTCTAATAGAAATATTTTATCATATATTTAGATCTTAATTGAACGTCTAAATGAAATTTATCGTAGAATTGTCAATCTATTTAAGCCTAAAATCTATGTATCTTTAAATTATTATAGGAGTATAACACAAATTAATTAACAAAAGATGAAGCCCATAATGTGCCTCACTTATCTTCCTCCATTAAACCAAACAATATATCTGCTTCTGTTTCTGCCAAAAGAAATTGGAGAGTTCAAAAGGCTCTAGGAGAAGTAGATGTTTTTGTCTTGTAGTTATTTGTCTTGGTATATACTTAATTGACTTTTTATACTTTTAATGTTTAGGTCCACAAAAATCACACCCCCTTTATTTCTTTGTTAATATCTAAAAGCTTTTTAGTGCTCATATACTAGTAAAAAACAAAGTTAAAATTAAAAGAATAGTATATAATATATGATTAGTGGACATTACTAGAAACTAGCAAGTGCTTTTAGTGTCTCATGCCTATGGCAGATAGAGGCTTGGATTTCTTTTCTGGATCTTATAATAAAATCCAGTCATATACATATCTTTATACTTCTTTTTCACTGTGCTCTAGATTTACGTACGTTTGACCTATTTTTTTTTACCTAGCTACTATACATTGGAAATAGTTTTGGTTTAATTAACTTTGTATACTACTTCTCCGTTTTATATTTTATATGATGTAGTTTGATTTGGTATCAAGTTTAAGAAAGAAAGAAAGACTTTGAAAACTTTGGGTCTGAAATAAGTGATAGACATTTGTGTGATTACAAATTATTTCATTAAGCTAATATGAAATGTATTATTCTTTTGGAACAGACTAAAAAAAAATGAGTCATATAAATTAAAACAAAAAAATTGTTCGGACGTTAAACAAGGAAACTCTTTTACTATTAGTAGATTAAACAAATGGAGTACTACAAGTTTTAAGTAGTACTAATAAGCAATTGCTTGAAAGCATTAACATGTGACAACCCACAACCTAGTAAAAGGTAAATAAACCTAGAATTCTACGAGCAAAGACTCAAATAATTATCATAAATTTAGAAGATTGTACTCAAAGTCTTAAACAAATGAAAATTGGGTTCCCCAAGAGCCCTATAATAGAGTAATAAATTCATAATCACAGAAAACTAATCATTTTGAAATAATAAAGCCCATCATCACTTATCACTCATCACCATCTAACCCCAAAATCATCATAATTCCATGTTCCACTTTTTCTTAAAATAAAGAATCTTTCCGTTTGTTAAATTATTTATTTTCCGCAGACAAAATCATTACAACTTTTACTGTAAAAACATTAAAAGAAAAAATATGCTATTATTTGTTACTCAATTAACAATGGAGATAATGGTAAAAAAAAAAACAAATTTGAACAATTACTCTTTTTTTTCGTCAGTCGTTAATTGTTTTTCTTGAATTATCACAAGTGCTATTATTATTTTTAATTTCAACTATTATCATTTATATATTTAAAACATACTTAGTTGAGTAGATGATGATAGTTTAGATAAAAATAAGGGATAAGGGTCTGAAAAATACCCTAACTTTGATCGAATTTGTTGTTGCGATACTAAACTTTCATGAGGACCTATTACCTCCCTAGACTATTTAATACCGTATTTTTTATCCTTTGAACTATTTAATAGTGTATTTTAAAGGTATATATGTGTCCACGTGTCCACATTACTATTTATAATTTTGCATTATTTTTTATGTCCACGTGGACAAATATATATGTTTAAAATACGGTATTAAATAGTCTAGGGAGGTAATAGGTCCTCATGAAAGTTTAGCATCGCGACAACAAATTCGACCAAAGTTGAGGTATTTTTCAAACCCTTATCCCTAAAAATAATAATTGATGTTTGATCTAATCCATTTCAATTGTTGTTTTAATATAGATAGTGATAGTTCAAATAGAAAAGACAAACAACTAATGGTTAAAGTGTGAAACTCATAAAAAGATTATAATTCAAATGTGTTTTTAACTCTTAATAGCACCAGTACTAGTAACACTAATAAATATTATTCGTTCCATATTATTTGTCTACCTTTTCTTTTACACATTCTTAAAAAAAATCGTAAATAAAAAAGACATTTTTATTAATATGACCTTTAATGTGTTTTAATACACTAACAATTCAAATCGTAGTCGGTGTTCGTCATTTAATTAAGCACGGCGTGGTCTGCTAGTCGTGTTAAACCATCCAAAAACCTCCGGGTGGTACAAACTAGACTGCTTCTGTAGAAGCAGCTAGTAACCTAACCTTTACGAATTTGTTCAAGGGAGGACCCTCTGATCTATCAATGGAAAGATCTCAATGTGTGGCGTGACAAGAAATCCTGTTTCATTTTCTGATTTCGGGCTCTAAAGCACGAGCATTAAGTTACTTATGGAATCTAAGATCTCTCTCGACACGGAGAACTTCTCGAATGTCATTACCAATGATTACAATTTCATCAATACATACTAAAAGAAATAAACATAATAGTTTTCACGTCGACAGTTAAAAAAGGACAGTTTGGAATTGAAGAAAACTAGTATCCACAGAAGCAGATTTGGCAAATCCATTTCGTGTGGCTTGTTAAAGTCCATAAAGGGATTGATTCAAGCAGCAAACTGAGTTTTCTCCTTGTGGAGAATATCCGTGAGGGAAAGACATGTATACTTTTTTTTTTTTTGAAAATATGTTAAGGCTTAAAAATCATTGAATTAGCTGCCGGAGAAGGAAACTTCAATCTATTTATATGTTTTATCTATTAAGATTAATAAAGGAAGGTTTTTTTAAAATAATTTAATAATACTTTAAAAAGAATTAATTTATGAGTAAAATGAGAAATATTTAATTATTTTTATTTTTAACCTCATAAATAATTTATGATAAATATTTTTAACAATGTAAACGAGTAATATGAAATTGTTGGAGCAACACATTCCCCAAATTTTCATTACGAGCACACATTAGTACACAAATTCAAAACGATTCCCGTGAAAAGCCTAACACACTGACAACTCTCTTTAACACCTCTCTATTTTCTCCTCTTTCTTTGTGTACTCTGTTTTTTCTTCCTTTAAATTACCTCAAAAAGCTTACCTTATTTGTTACTCTCTTTACTCCCTTTTCTTTCTTTCTTTCTTTCTTTGCTTTGCTTTCCTCCACTTTGAATTTAGCACCAGTTTTCAGTATGAGAAATGTCTCTATGTTTTTCTTCATTCTTGGAAGTGTAATCTTTCAGCTTTCTCAAAGTGCAACTGTAATAGTTGATGGAGTTTCACTATGGAAAAATCCAATTGTCCACATTGGTGATTCCATTAGTAAGTAGTCTTCTTTATACTATTATGAACCATTTTGCTGTTTTTGGTACCTTTTTTATTTGACCAAATTTTTTTTCTTCAGTTTTTCAGCATAAGTATGAGTATAATGTGTACATTTTCAAGAATCAGAATGCCTTCAATGTCTGCAATTTCACTCAAGCTACACTTCTTACTAAATCTGATTCCAAGTCTTACACTGTAAGTTCTCTTTCACTTTCTGTTGCTACCATCTGGCTTGAATTTTGAATTTGAAGCTGTGTTTGGACATGCATTTTACTTACATTACAAGTGAAAGTCCAATTTTTGAGAACTTCAAAACATTTAACAAACAAAGCCCAAAATCTATGGTGAAACGTAGCTTCATGTGCGTGATAAAGATTCAACTTTTTGAAAATGCCACTAACTTCTTCTACATATCAAACTTCACATTTGAAATTGAAAAGGGTATTAAGGGAGTTGTTTCAGTTGCTGCATAATTTCAAGAATCAAGCTTGAATTTACTGAGTATTAGTTTTTACGCCAAAGTCTGAAATTTTCTTGTAAATAACTTCAATTCCTTCCAAATTTTCAAGATTCAGGTCTAGAATTCAAAAGGGTGTTCAAAAATCTGCAGAAAGATTCCATCTTTTAAATTTTTTTCTGATGAATTAATTTGCAGTGGCACCCATCAAGGCAGGGTGTTTTTTACTTCTCATTCAACAATGAGTCAAATGCAGCATGTTTACAAGGCCAAAAACTAGCAATTAAGGTATCTTTTCCTACTCCGGCGGCAAGTCCTGCCTCCTCGCCGGCAAAGCCACCGGTGGGAGTTCCACCGGTGATATCCGGCGGCGTTGTGTCATCTTCTCCGGCATATCCATGGCCGTTTCAGCCCCGAGAAGCCACTTCCCCTAGCCCTTCACCAAGTGCTCTGTTCCCGGCAAATGGGCCAATGGTACCGGAAAAAGGAGGTGAAATTCCGTTTATTAACAGTAATCCAGCGGTTCCATTGCCCACTGGTGAAGTAGACTCTGCCACTATCCGCCCTTTGCCAACTTCCGGTTCTAATCACCAGGTAATTCATCAAATTGATATTACTTCCGCATCAATTTATCTGACATGGTTTGATTCATATGATTTATTTTGGGCACATTCAAAAAAAAAAAAAATTGTCTTAGAAATTTAAATTTATTCTGAATAGTTTAATGATTTTTAAAATTCTTGATGTCAAGATATCAAGAATTTGGTTAAAGGTATATGTATATAATAATAGTGAGTCATCATGTCCAAAAAGAAAAAGGTAATAGAAAGCAAAAGGAATAGTGGTAAATTGGTTTAGCATTTTTTTTTTGGGACCAAAGTGCTTAATTTGATTTTTGCGGTCCATATAATATACTACTTTTTAAAGAGGAAATTTTGGACTTTCTTCAGTCTTTTTTTTTAAAAAAAAGGAAAAAATACCTCATATTTTTGGTGTTGGAGACATTTAAACGATGTTCTTCAGTCAGTAGTTCAATACTTTTGCTTAAAGAAAAAAAAAGGAAAAGCCTTGGCGGAGTGACATATCGGAAAAAAAAGAGAGGAAGAAATAGGAACAAAATAATTCGATCAAAAGGAGAGAATTAATTCCAGAAATAACTACTGGTTGACTGCTAACTTCATTTATTACTTTTGACACTTTTTTTTATTTATTAGGAGTATTGTTAACATCTTTATTACTATTTGTTTTTTAAAAAAAAAATAAAAAAATCTCTTAATGACTTTTTCCTTTTTTTTTTGGTTAGTCTATCTTCTTTTTTATTTTTCTATTTTTTTATCTTTTTCTTCTTTTATTTTAAATTAAAATAAATTAGACTATAACAAAAAATAATAGGGAAAATTACGAAAATCACTAATTTATTTAATTAAATCAAATTTACAAAAAAATATGTCTATAATTTATTTATTTGTTGCAAATGTAAACAAAAGTTATATCTAAAATATGACTATTTTTTGTAATTTGTTTTACAAATAAAATTTGTTAAAATAATATAAAAATTCAAATAGCAAAGACTAAACTTAAATTTCTATTTGTTCTTGTTGTAAATTTTTATTTTATTTTTTGAACAAATGAATATGTATGTGTGATATCTTGTCAATATATGATATATACATATACATGTTATAGAGGATTGAATGATATTTTTTATGAAGGAATAACGTTGTAATATATGATACTCTGTTATGAAATGATATATATCTTGCGGTATCACATTTGATTGAGAAGTAACTTTTTCAAGTAATGAACTTGTCTCAACATTTTATATATGTATATATATATATATAATGTGGAAATCATAAATGAGTTCTTTTGAAGGAATGGATCATTCTTATAATACCATATCAGTATATTATATATATCATGTGAGTATCATAGATAATTGATAGTACAATATTTTATTGAAGGAATAAATTTGCCTTCTATAATACCCTGTTAGTATATAGTTTATCATCCGGCATTAGTTAATTGTCATTGAATTTAATGTTACTATATGCTTTAAGGACATTCTAGTGAGTGCTAATTGCCGCTAAAAATACATATTTAGCGGCAATTAAGCTATTGTCTCTAAAGATAATTTTTGGTGTAGTGTAAACCACACTTGAAAAAGAGATTCAAACTAATCTAACTTAAAATTTTAATTGTTTTTAGGATTTTTGAAATTTCAAGAACGAACCCAAAAAAAGAAAAAAGAAAATAGAAAATAGAAAAGATGACAAAAAAGAAGAAAAGAAAGAGGGGAATTTAATTAAAATAACCTAAAAAGGGAATGTAAAAGAGAAGAACAAAAGGGACAAAAGGAGGCTGATGATGGTGGTACTGATTAGATTCATTATTAAGTTTAAATAATTAATTAATTAATTGTTTTTTTTTTTTGTTTTGAAATTTGGAAATGCAGGTGGTGGGGTTTTCAGCAATTCAAAGAAGTGTGTGCTTTGCAATTTTCTTAATGATGCTTTAGACAATGCAAAAAGGAGAGAGAAAGAGAAAAGTTTGAAATGTAAAAAGAGAGATTCCACTCTTGGGATGTAGTTTTGAATCTAAAGTAGCATTAGAAGGGGCTGATTATCATCATGATTAGTACTAATATCATGTGTAATATTGCTATTCTTTGATCCTACTTTGGTATTAGTTTAGTTTTGGCACCTTAATAATTTTACTCCTTCCTATCTTTTGTCATCAAATACTATTCCCTTCGTCTCAAAGTATTTGTCGTAATTATTAAAATCAATTATAATTAAATTATTTGCCATTTTAGATGGGACTTACGGACTAATACCTCTCGGTGCATTTTTAGAGTGCCTAACCTTAAAGCTCATCTCAAAACTCGCATAGGTAAAGAAATGGATCTTGAGTCTAACTCAACCCTAAAAGTTAGCTCAGGAGGAGACAATTGTCCAAGAACTAACTCATATGAGAAGATTGTTCAAGCCCATATGAAGAGATCATCCATATCTTTTAATTTTCATCTGATGTGAAACTCTTCGACACATAAAAAAAACACCTTTAAAACACTGGTATTAATAAGGCCTAACAAGAATATGTTTGAAGATTCAGGATTGCTAGTGAGTGAGCTAAAAGCCCAAGGCCAAATGTTCCAACAATTCAGGTTTTAATGTATAAAGCCCAAGACTAAAAGCTATGATGGCATCTGTTCATTTAATAAGCACATTGTAGTGAGCTAAGGAGATATGTTAAATAGAAGAGGAATTTCCGCATATAGCCACTCAAAAAATAGCCTAATTACGCTCCATAGCTATAGTTTGTTAATTACGATTCGTAGCTACATGTTATAGGGAGGAGAGTGGCTAGCCAGACTGGGAGAGGGAGGAGAGAGGCGAGCGAGAGAGGGCAGAGAGTGGGAGAGAGGTGAATTGTATATGTATATCTGTTAGATAATTGTATATTATACATATGTATTTGTATATTCTGGCTAGAGAGATTGGAAGAGGGAGGAGAGAGGCAAGCGAGATTGGGAGAGATGGAGGAGAGAGACAGGCGAAATTGGGAGAGGGAGGAGAGAGGCGAGCGAGAGAGGACAATAATTTGTATAATTCGCTTCTCGTTCTTATAATTTGCAGGTACGTTTGTATAATTTGCGTGTTTTTGTACAATTGAGTAATATAAAGTCTGGAATTATACAAATATAATAAAACTCGAAATAACGAATTGAATCAAACATAAGCATATGAACTTTAAACAATTATACAAAATATATTATACAAATTACATTATATAAATTATATTATACAAAATTCGAAAACTATACGTTTAGGGTTTTTAAATTGTCTCATATTAATTTTATATATGAACAACTTATTTTCTATCTACCTACCAAACGACTTAGAAGTTATATGAAAATTAACATATAAATAACTTATTTCTTATCCAGCTACCTGACGACTCATTTAAACACACCTTAATAAAAAGTGATACGAAGTGCCCATAATAATGTTATGCTTTTATAGGCTCAATTACAAACTCATAACCACACAACAAATTGAACCTAGTAATCACCAAACTCTCTTTTTACAATCAAATGAAAAAAGTAAAAAAAAAAAAAAACAAGAGTTGCAGAAAATAACAACATTCATGCTATGTTGTTAGCCTTTTAACCTTTTCTTTTCACAGATTGATTCTTATTTCTTAAGAGATGAATGACAAACACAACAAGAGATAATATTAAGGCTGATCCTGCAACAATAGGCACACAAATTTTTGAGCTCTTCTTAGGCACATTGTCATCTTCCTTTTTCCTTGATGTTACACTAGCTTGATCATCTTTATGTTCATCCCTCGAACTCGATGATTCAGGTTCATCATGACCTACAAAATCTCCGCGAGGCTCGTTGCTCTGGATGTTTGAGTCTACATTTGGTATTGATTCATCCTTAACAACGTGTTTTTCGACTACTTCACGTGGTTTTTCTATGCTTTCTAATACATTCTCCACAATTTCTTTCTCCTTTTCTTGATTTTCCTCTGCTTTTGGTTTATCCATATCTTCTTTAAATGTGACCTTTTTAGAAATTTTGTTAGCTACAAATGGCAATTCTTCATGTTCCTTCACTTCAACAAATTCAATTCCAAGAATCCCTTTTACTTTCTTTGGCATTTTAACTGTCAATATGGATTTTTCATCATCAAATTTAGCCTTAATTTTATCCAAGATAACCCCATCTGGAATCTTGAAAGCCTTACTAAATTTTCTAACTTCTACATCTTTTTTGATCAATTTCCACCCTACCATCACAGTTTCTTGAATCGATTTTTCACCCCTTATCGCGATAATAGTCCCTTCTTCATTAATATCAACCTTAATGTTTTCTTGTATATAACCTATATACAGAGTTTTTACATATTAGAAGGAAGTACAAATGAACATGAAAATGGAAATTTTTTTTACTATGTGTATGATGAAGAGAAAAATTGACCTTTCAAATGGACAGTAAGGATGAACATTGTGTCTGTTTCTGTAGACTGGAAAAGAGGGCCAGCTCTGTCTTTTGCAAATTGGAATTCAGTAGAGGAGGATTCATTTGCAACTCTTGTTAGTTTAAGTCCCATTTCCATTTCCATTTTTCGCGGTTTTTCGCTACAAGAACTGTGATTATGCAAGATGAAAGAAAGTTTTTTTTTAAGTCCAAACAATGCAAATGCATATGTATGCTAACATAAACATGAGAGAAAAAGAACATATACTTTGCTTCATGACAAATTATACTTTGATTCAAGGATTATAGCTTGTTATAGATGAAAGTTTGTCTTCTAAGTTTTGTCAAAATTTGATATAAACACGTGAAATTATTGACAACAATAATAACATACTCAGAGTAATTTTACGAGTGGGTTTGTATGGTGTGTCTTGTGGGATAGGCAAGCAAAAAGGAAAAGGCCTTGTCAAATATGTGCTTGCACATTGCCTTCCAATTGGACTTCATTTGTACTACACAATGTAACACTTTTTAAGTTAAGTATTGCATACGATTGATTCGAAATTCTTCTTGCAGCTCAAACTCTATCAATGTTTTACAAGGCACACTTTTTTCAAATAATTTTTACTATAGGTCAAGTGACACTAGCATAAAAAGGCTCCATCAAATATGAATAGGTCCTAGCCTATGTTTAATATCTTCTAATAATATTATTCTACTTTTGTTTAACATCGTACTAATAAGAGTTGGATCCAGAATTTTAAGTTTATGATTTTTAGGTCACAACTTTTTTGTTTACTCGATTCTGAATATACATTTTAAGACATATTGCCCCAATATATTTTCTAAACAAAATATAACATTTGAGCCAAAGCTATTGAGTTCTGTCTAATCCTTAACTTTACAAATCCACAATTAAAATTACTATTAACTTCTTCTAGAAGTTCTCTAATTTAGCATTAGATGTGATTCGAAGTATTATCTACTATAATACAGAAATATTTTGGGTCACAAAGACGAAGTATATCGAAGCAATCACGATATGCAAGCAAAGCTCATGACCTACTTGCAAAGTCTTTAGCTAAATGTTTCAGTTTCAAATTTTCGTTATCTTTAGTAGGAAGTGTTTTTATGTTCAAAATGCAATTTTCTAATGCAATTCGATCTAATCAAGCTACTCTTGTGTCAAGTTAAGATGTCTATATGGTAATCGACAAAGTTAAGATGTATATGTGATTGTTATGAACAATTTTAAGTGACCATCTATATATTTCCGCTTTTATATTATATAAAATCTATTTTCTTGTTTCCAATTAGAAATAGAAGATAAAGATGAAATATAGGGCAATTTGGTGTGTAAAGCATCTCAGAATATACACTAATTGAAACCCTTTTTTTAACTTTGAGTTATCAATTTGAAAATTAGCTCAAATCTTCCTCAAATTGTCTCCAAACAACCCCAAAATTAATATTCAAACCCCATTAAGATGTTTCGAACAAAATTCGATATCATCCAATTAAAATAAATCACAACTACGCTGATCAAAAGATTTCGAACCAAAGTTCAATGGTCTTTAATAATATTTTCAAGTTTCTTTCTTCAAACTTAAGCAATATTTTCAATGTTATATTCATATTTTTTAAGAAGCAAGTTGTAGCGTAGTAGTAGATCTCTGCTCGTATCCTTGGTGGTTGGAGTTGTTAAATTTTAGATTTCATAGTCATATGATTTCAATGCTTTTAAGAGTGGGTGGGGGAGATGAGTTTGACATGATGTCGATAAATGGTAAAGGCTTAATATGATGGCTAATTTCTCATAAAGACACACTAACAATTCTCTTGGCCTTGCACATTTATCCTAAATTGGACATGTAATATAATGTTGCATACTTTCTTAACACCAACTTTTTAATAAAACTTGTGGATACAATAAATTGAAGAATGAAGTGATAGGCCTCCAACTTAAAAAGTTATATAAAAAAATCAATGATAAGACTATAGAGCCATGAGTACTTATGATCCATTAAGTTAGCTTAGACTTGGCTATTGGTTTCCAAATCCATGTGATGTGTTTGTGTTGGATTTAACTGAGTCTTATATGCTCTTGGTCCATCAATCAATTGGGATATGCATGTTCTACTCTAAGCTGATCATAGATCTAGATTAATAACAAAGCCTGTTCGATTAAGCTTTTAAAAAGTTAAAAATATCTATCTTTCGTTTTGCTTCGCTATTTAAATTTTAAATTATGTTGTTGATTGTGAATTGTGATCACTCACTTGTTCTAAGTTTAACTTGTGTATATAAAATAATAAAAATAATTCTGAGGATTAGTTTCAATCAACTTAAAGTTCAAAAATAATCAAGTCATTCCACAATTGTGTGTTTAATCACTTTAAAAAATCTATATATATATATATATATATATAAAGCTGGATAACAAAAGTCTGACGTGGCACCTCTCTTTGGCCAGGATTACCATTTTATTTTTTTTGTCAATTTTTTGAATTTTTTTTAAATTCTTTTGATCTCTAATATCTGCCAAAAGAAGAAAAAAAATATTTAAAATATTTTCTCTATCTCTCCTCATTATTACTACAATTTATTATTTTTATCTCTCTTCACCATTACTATAATTAATTATTTATCCTTAAATTCCTCTTTTTACCTTCCATTTTTATAATTTTCTACAAATCCCGATTTATTTATCCTTTTTATTATTATAATTTAATATTATACTTTTTATTTCTACAATTTTCTAAAAATAAAATATCTTATTTATCTTTCTTTTACTTATTACCATAAACGTTTTATTTACTATAATTAATGATTTTTCCTTAAATTCCTTTTTTAACATTTTTTTAAAATATAATTTTCTAAAAAATCTAATTTATTTATCCTTTTATTATCATAATTTAATATTATACTTTTTATATCTACAACTTTCTTAAAATAAAATATCTTATTTATCTCTCTTTTACTTATTACCATAAACGTTTTTTCCCCATTAAATTTGACTCAATCAATTTCATTTAATTTGTTGCCACACAAATTAGCAGAAAATTAAAAATATTTTTTTATTTCATCCCTAATGCTATTAATTAATTGATTTACGTAAGACCCTTCCTCTTCCTTCTCTCATATCTCTTCCATTTTATTTTTTAAAAAAACTTTTAAAAATAACTTCAATCACATTTATTTTCTATTAATTGAGTTTTACTAATTAATAATTATAATTTCAAATCGGTTACAAACCTTTTTACCTTCCATTCTTCTTTATATTTTCATAAAATTCTCATAATTTTGTAGCTTCTCATTTTTACCAAAAACTCATTTACAAGTTTATTCTTTTTAATTTTACACTTTTTCTTTTGAGTTGCGGAAGCTTGAATTTTCTTGTGACAAGAATGGAGGAAAATGATGTGCTAATTTTTCGAGGAAGCCATGATTTAAAGGTGTATTTGTAACTTCTTTTTCTTTTGTTATCATATTGTTTATGCTCTCTTATTTTTTCTTTTTTCTTGATTTATTGTGATTTTAACCTTTTAAAGACTTCATGTATTCTATTAGAATATTTCAATATGAATCAAGAATCAAGAATTTAGAATACTTGAAAAAAATCATGAGATATTCAATTTCATTTTTCATTTTTCAAAATGAAGTGTATATGGTGATGGACCTTCACTATTCGAAAAATAAGAATAGCATGATGTAGTTCTAATTTAGATTCCTATAATTGCTATTCTTTCTAATGTCATGTTCTAATGACATAATGTAAGTTTTGTAATGTCATGTGCAATTAGTCTAGGGCCTAGGTGATCTTCTTGGAGGATACTGTCTCTCACAATGGAAAGAGAAGTGTGTTGTTTGTAGAGGACTAATTATATAGCACACTGTCGTCATATATGTGAGTATGATTTAATATGTGCAATATTTTTTTATGTTTCCATAATGAAAGCCACAAGGTTCATGTTTTTCTTTTTGTACAGGTGATCATGGCTGCCGCGATTATGGAGATGTATCTGCGTAAGAAATTTTGTTCCAAGCATAAAGACGGAGCATATACAACCTCTTCCGAAAGAGTGTGCCAATTAATTCGCTAGGTCATGTTCTTAATTTCTTGCTATCTTGTTGGAGAAAAGGGATCTTTGAGCAAAGTCCAACACTAAATTATATTATTATTTAAGTCTTTGTAAGATTTTATTTTAATTTTTGAAATTTTAGATCTTATTCTTTTGGAGTTGTTCCCTAATTTAATTAGATGAATAAGTTTTAGTTTCTATCTCTATAAAGCTATATATAATAATTAAAGTTAGGCATAGACAATAAGATGTGCACTTTTCTATGGCCAATAAATCTATTTATCTTTTTTCTTCTTTATTTGAATTTTTTCTTTTCATAGTTTAATTTATTGTTGCAATTTTAAAAAAAAGGCAATGTAAAAGTATGAAGGCAATGAAGAGGTATAAAGGAAAAGAGGATAAGGAAAATAAACATTCACATTTGTTCAATTTGTTAGTCAATAGTCACAATTCACAATATTAAAGACTTCATTTTATCTTTCCTATAATTGATTCTCAATTATAAGAACTTAAATTAATTTGATATTACTTCTAATCTAATAAATTAGCCTACTATGTTGTTATGAGTTTATCAATTTTTTGGCTAACCTTTTCATATTACATTAATGAAATGACACACCCTTTCATATTGTGTTTTGATGAAGGATAAACGAATTTCTACATACTCCATCATTCATCATATTTTTTTATTCAAATACTAAAACAGAATGAACTTGCATTATGTTCAAGTGCAATCATGGCTATCATTACTACTCATAGCAAGGCAAACTTAGATGGGTCGGACATGGGCTTAATTTGTTTGGGTTAATATAGTAAGAGGGTCGGACATGGGTTAAGATAGTTAGAGGATCAAACATGGGTTAAAATTGGATGATATGTTATTTTTAAAGAAAAACGGGTAATTTTACTTGATTTGGAGGTTTTCATCCAATTGAAGGATACAAATAATAAATTTGTAGATGGCGGAGTTATGGATGGTTGCATAGTATAACATAGGGTAAAGTTAGCTATTAAACAAAAGTTGATGAGTATTTTTTACCCTTCTCCTTACAATTAAACCAAAAGATAAAGACAAGATTGGACAATATAATATAGTGGAATATATAATTAATCGGAAAGAAAATTGATTCTAACACATATATCTTAACGCACGCGCGAAGCGCGACCTAGTGAGTGAATAAAGTGAAAAGATTGTGATTTTGGAATTGTGAATAACAATGAAGTATTTACAAGAATATTTTCTATAATAGAAAAAGACTGTCATCATTTATTTATTTTTCCACTCGGTGTTCGGTATCCACATTAAAGCCCAACAAAATTTGAATTCGCACCGGAAAGTCCCACATTGGAGGTAAAGCGCTCCCTAACAAAGGTGACTCCGTACCCAAGAGGGCACCAACCCAAAACCTCATGATTAAGGATGAAAGAATACTTATCATTCTACCACAACCCTTATTGGTAAAGACCGTCATCATTTATTATCATTTTATAGTACTAAAAGAGAGAGAAAACCAACTTTTGGTAATTAAAGGAGATAATAAAAACTGGTTACATACTGGAAGGGGAGGGACCTTTTCTCATTTTGGCCTCTCATATACTTTTTGGTAGGTATAGAAAATGACAATTCATATTTATTGTAAGTTGGTATATATATACTTCTATAAATTAAATCTCATCTCATTTGAGTGAATTATCATATCATTCCCAAGCTGCTTTGATTGATGTATTAGAGAAAATAGTACTATATTATTGACCATTATTTTTATACAAAGTAAATCATTATAATATTGACAAAATGGCGTGTTAATCCTATTTTGATACACCATATTCATTTAAAACAAACGTAACAAACCAAGCAATTAATAAAAATAATATTAGGTGTAACTCTATAATTTATCCTAGTTAATCCTGCTTAGAATTGTTTTTGTTTTCTTTCACATCTGATGTATCTGAAAGAATTTGATAGTATTTTATTAATCCTTCAAATAATTTTATAGAAGGAAGATGAAGATGAAGATGAAGATGAAGGTGAAGGTGAAGGTAGAAGGAGTTGGGTGTTTTAGAAATGGGTTTGGGTTAATGGGTATGATTGTGAATGAAAGTGGGTCTAATTATATGTGGACCAATAAAATAATGCCACATATTTAATTAAAAATATATATTTGCCACATCAGCTTCTGTTAAAGGTAAGGGTAATTTTAAGCTTAAATTTAACTCTAAGGGCATTTTTTTATCCAAATAAGTGGATGAAAGGACATTTTTTATCCAATAGATGGAAGAAAAGTATTTTTGAGCCATTTCCAATACCTTAAGGGCATTTTTGACCCTTTCCCTTCAAAAAATAATGACAAAAACACTTTAATATTAATGGTTCAAAGAGAAAATATCCATTCAAATAATAATGACAAAAACACTTCTTATTAAAAGAGGAAAATATTCAGAGACAAATATATGTAGCCTCTGTAACTCTTTGCTCTAAAAAGGAAGTTAATGTATAAGAAACTTGTGTACAATAGTAATTAGTGAAGAGATATAAAAATGATTTATCGAATTTGCGATTCTGATAAATAATGAAGATAAATAGTGCTATATATATCTATCTTTACATTTCTACCAATTATTAGGTGCAAAGTCAAACCATAAAAATAAAAAAATAAAAACTTCTTCTATATATAATCTATCCTCAACTCCAAAAAAAATTAAATAATTTTTAAAATAGAATTAAAAAACTTCTTATAGCCACAATGCTTTTAGGCAACCCTCAAAAATGAGAAAACTTTACCTACTTGTTTGAATTTTATAAGAATTAATATTGGCCAATATCAAAAGCAATATTATTTTATACTCTAAACAATAGGGGTCTCTAGAGAGGATGTGCCAACGAATTGAAGACCTTTTGGAATTTAATAAAGGATTCAATGATGTCACGTGAAGAAAAATAATATAATATAATATAATGTCAATGGCATGGTTCAATCTATTCCAAATTTTGCAACTTGCAAGTAGCAGTTGAGATGTCCACATGACATTTCCATGCATCTAATTATTTGGCTACTTGGTTAGTAATTATATTTTCTATAATGTTTCTACCTCTTATATAGTTCAAACATTCACTGTTCGAGTGAAATGGTTGAAATTCTTTCACTTTTAAAAATTAGGACGATTCATATCCAATTTTGCTTTGGAAAATATACGACTATACACAATTCTTCAGTGCAATTGGAAGCCCCTCTCTCTTTCTCGATTAGCCTAAACTTAGTTCAATAGAAATTTGAGTGCTGAAAATGAAAATAAATTCTCACAACATGTGTTCATTATGACTACCTCATACATGTGTTATCAATTAATCCCACCATGAGCTAGGATGCATGCACTAGTTGTTGGTATTTCGTGCAAGGTAGTTTGGTTAGGTTTCCAATTTTCTTATACACATACTAACTTTTGTATTCCACTCATTCTTTATTAAATTAAGAAAATAATTAAAGAGAAAAGTGTTGTCAGAAATTGGATGATTTTTCATTCAATTAAGTGTTTCAAAACAATAGAAATCAAACAACAATAATATATTCAATATAATTTTACAAAATAGAGTATGAAGAAGATAGAATATACGCAAATCTTATTCCTATCTCAGAGGTAAAGAGATTGCTTTTGAAATATCGACCGAAAAAGGAGAAACAAAATCTGGGCATTGAGTTCAATGTGGTTAAAACTTAAAATAAAGGAATAATGTCAAAAAGCAATAATTTGGCAGTTACTTCATTTTTGTCCTATATAGATAGAAACCATTAATATAGAACTTCTCCTAGATATTGGAAAAAATGTTGAGGTCCACTTTCTTTGTTGCCTGCCATAATATATATATTCAGCCAGCTAATAAGATGTAACATATATTTATTATATGGCAATTAAAATTTAAAGCACACCTTCAAAGGACTTGTAGATTCATTCAAGGAATGCCTCAAATATCTCTCACCACTTAGTGGCCTCTCATTATCCAATTGGTGGTAGATACTAGTATATTGCATAATGTCAAATCTTCATTTTTGAACTTATTGATGATGTTAACAAACATGCCAGCTATGATCCAGTTCTCAAAATGAGCAATTAGCTGGCAAACAAAAATATCAAAATCTAGAAGGGTTTTAGGGTGTGGGATATGGGGGTTGGGGGAGTTGAGTTCATTTTTTTACCATGTTCTCAATGCTTTGATAAATTAAGCAAACATGTGAGATTGATCAAGTTTTTTTAAGATGCCCCCTTTGTTTGTTTCTGGTGTTTGGATCATATCAACAAACTAACAAGATTTGTTGGAAAAAGTTTCAGTTTTATGCATTATAATGTAGGAAGGTGTGGAGAATACAGATTAGGGTAAAGGATTAATAAGAAGTAGGACATTGTCTTGATGTCCGTTCATATTAGTAGTTAGTATTGCTTATTTCTTCTACTTCACTTTCTGTTATTATCTGTTGTTACTTGTACCTCAATTATCATATCGTTTTGTTGTAGTTTTTGTTCTATTACTATGTATTGTTTTTGTTATTATCTATTATTTCTTGTACTTGAATGTTTTACCTTGAGCCGAAAGTCTATCAAAAACTGTCTCTCTATCTCAGAGGAAGAAATAAGATATGTGTACACTTTACACTTCACAAACAATGAATATGTTATTGTTATTGTAATGTATACAGTTTTTTTTTATAATTAAAGGGTGATTTACTAGAACAAATAATTTTGTATACCAAGTCTGACATTGTTATCTAGACAATAGAATAATAGCCTATTTCAAGCCGCCATTGTTCTTGATCCAAATTACACTATTTTTATGTATTAGAAACTAACATATAAATATATTGACTTAGCACCACAATCTTAGAAACTAATAACTCCATATTAAAGGTAGTTGAACAGCCAAGAACTTAAAAACCTGGATCCAACTGCGTTGATGCTTGATAGCGCGAATTCTTTACATTGTCAATATATATAATTTTGGAAATAATTCCTATATATTTTTTTTAAAATTTTTCATCTGATGTCCAATATCTACATTGAAATTCAGATTCACATCAAAAAGTTTCACATTGAGCTAAAGCGTTCCCTACCAGGTCCAGTTAACTTATGCACATGAGTTAAAACAAAAAATAAGAAAAGAAAGTCATGTTAGTCTTACCTGCCACATTTATTCACATAAGAGAATTAACAAACGTGGCTTCCATAAATAAAAACATTGTCTAAGTCAACAAGAAAACCAGAATTTTGACCAAAATTACATGCTGAAGATTTGTTTAAAATTTTCATGGAAGATGAGAAAATGTAGAAAACAGCAACTCATTGTTAGACACACACAGCTCTAATGTCAGAACAAAAACAAAATTGGGCCAACAAAAGCAACTCCAAAAGTATCAATGTTTTGAAAAAAGGGTTGTCTTTGATTCAAGGATAAAATGAGACTCAATATAAAAATGACCATTCCAGAGGCTGAATGGTCAAGTGATGGACAGAGACAGAACCTTTTGAAAAAAGAAAGAAAATCACTAAAATGTAAACTGAACAGTCATAGTAATAAAATCTCATTTTCTAAGCTTCATAGGAGAAAGTCATAGTAATAAAATGTAAACTTGGCAATATCATTGACATACTTGAAAGAAAATGTCAAACAAGAAGATAGAAACAGAGTGACAATGAATGATTTTAACATCTTCATCTAGAAAAATTCTAATTCAATGGCAACAACAACAACAATAGGACATTGTAATCTCATAAGTGGAGTCCGGGGAGAGTGTTGTGTACGCAGTCTTACCTTTTATCTGTTTATGAAATGTACCAAAATTAATACCAAGATTGCAAGCAACAACAACTAAAAGAAACTGAAAAAGGAAACTCAGTTGAAGAGTTAAAAAGCAAACTTAAGTCATAAGTGATTATACAATCCCAAACAAGATGAATATCACCAAAAATGGATCAAAGATCCACATCTTTTCCTAATTTCTTTACAAATATGAGGTGAAAATACATGATTTTTACCTCTTTAAACTACTTATTTTTCTGGCACCATTAACCATTCTCCGTCATCTTCTCATCTAAAAAAAAGGTCCAAAAAAGAAAAGAACAAAAGGGGAAAATCTATATATCATATTAACCTCATGTTCTAAATATATGGCTTCCCAACAATGCAACATGTTGTTTCACTCATGATTCCCTCGTCCTATAGAGTCGAGGCCTTCAGTCCTGCTCCGAACGATTCTATGGAATACTTCCCTAACCTGGCGCTCTAAAGGGTCTAATCCATTCTTTAGACCATCATAAACAAGCCCAAGTTCATGAACTCTTAGCTTCACTTCTCCATCTTTTTCCTCTGTGATTGGGAAATGAACAGTATCGATCAATTCATTCATGTGGTGAGCGCATTTCTCCATCTCATTAATCTCCTTCAACAATCCACAAGCATTTCTACGATCCCTCTTCTTCGATTCCTCCAAAATCCTTTCGTGGAGGGATAGGATTGGGACAGCCCAAACGAATTGCCTAGTCACATAAAAATGTGTCTGCAGGCCACGGTCCTGGCATGGTATTGCAGCCACAAGTGCCCACATTACAAAGTATAACACATAACTCATTGTGAAAACAGCCAAAGCTAATCCATTGGTAGCAATATTTTCATTATTTTTGGGAGCAACTAAGTTGTTACCAATTGCTTGGAGCTGCCTAGCAGCAGACCAATTCCTAGAAACACTCCATGACAACGATCTAAAATGCCCTAAAGACTTATGATCATTCTGAGTATTGTTTCTCCCAAATGACCTGTTTCTATGGGCAACAGATGTATTAGACTCCTTATCATCAAGCATACCAATTGCGAAATCAATCAAAGCCTTCTTGGCACGACGAAATTGACCTTCACCAACACACCTCTGATTTTCCAATGCACACAGAACAATCTCCAACTGCTTCTGCCACTGTTTTATCTGCTCAATTCCATCCCTTATCGCGTTACAAACATCCAACCCCTTCACACTCCTATCGAAATATTCAGTAACGTATCTGTCCATCGGAGGTTTGTTCAAATTAGCAGCGTTGTTGAATAAAATAGACCTGAATTGTTCCTGGCAACAGAGGAACACATCCAACAGCTTACGGATCCATGGAACCGAAAGCAATTGATCAGAATCAACAGAAGATAATTCATTAAAACGTTCAGCCACTTGCTTCTGAAAAGCTTCAAGTTCTATCTCTTGGCTAGTCGCCTGATGAGCAGCTTCCATGGAATGCACTTGATCTCGGCGCATACTCAAAAGAGATCTCCCAAAGTTTGTGAAAGATGCAGATGCTCCTTGATAATCTGTAACTGGCATTTCTAGATTACTTTTTTTTTTTTCTCACATGAAACAGTCAAAAGAAAATTGAAAATCTGAAATCAACCCACGAATTGTTGAATAGAAATTGGAGAAATGAAGTGAAAAAAACACGAAATTCAGATCAAACCCAAAAAGCTATGAAAAACTTAAATTGGATTTGAGAGTCCCCAAATTATCAACAACCAAATACCAATGAAAAGATTCAAAAAGGGATCAAGAATTGGTGAAGAAAATTGTTGAAAAATTAAGAAGAGAGAATGAAGAATTTGGAGAGGACAAAGTCCACAAAGGCAAAGAAAGAGGATGTTTTTGAGAACCCTAACTGGAGGAAAACGCCCTTATATTGTGCTCCATTTCGACCGCGTATATGGGTTTGTTGGAATTTTATTTTTTTATTTTTTTTTTTAAAAGAAAAAAAAAAGATGAAAGAGAAATTTCAATGATTGTGAAAATTGTAAATTCTCAAAAAGGTACCCCACCAACTTTAAATGAAAATTCAATGAATAAAATTTTTTTAAAAAATATATCTTTGTTAAAAAGAAAAAATGAGATACGATGGATATATCAAATAAAAAAATAAAAAAAGTGAAGAGTAAATTAAAAGTGCTTGGAAGTTGAAAAGTCACCAGTTGAGCTGATTTGGCTTATAAGCATTTGATTTTATAATTAAGCATTTGAGGTACTTTTCATACGCATACATAAATTAAAAAATATTTATAAGTCAATTTGATTGATTTATAAACCTAATTAAATATTCTTTAAACTAGTGTTTGGTTATAAATTTTAAATTAAATATTGGAAATTTATCTTTCAGCATCTATTTAATTATAAAATTTATTTACAATTTGAAAAATTTGATCTTCAAATATTTTGAAATTTTCAAAAATTGTTTCAGACAAGTTGAGTATTAGAAACTTTCACTCACGAAAATTCAAATTTTTTTCCGAGTAACATACATATTTAAAAACAACTTTAAAATCTCAAAATTATTTATGGCCAGAATGAGAGCTAAGTACCATTAATTAGGGAGTAAATAAGGATTTTGATTTAAATTATTTAGGTTAACACGTAGTATCACACGCAAGGGACGCGTATGATGTTCAATTAGATGGGCCAATGTAAGAACGTGTAACATAAATTTTTCAAAAAGAAGAATCTATGATATTGACTTTTATCCATTGTATTTACTTTATTTGTTTGATTTGAGGGTTAAGATTAAATTAAATGTCTAATATGTCCTATTTGTGTGAACGTTTTTGGTCACCTTAGCTGACATAGTCTTGTGAAACATATGATATGATCTAAGATACATAGATAATAGAAATGTAGTTAGGCATACCTTTCATAAAAAAAAATTAAAAAAATGTTGAAAGATGCAGTATCAAAAAAATATATTTAATCTTTAAATTAAATGTCATTTTCTTAAAACGAGAGGAGTATTCTCCCGATTCATTTTAATTGTCATGCTTATTAGTATAAATAACTGATTTAAAAAATTATGACATATTCAGACCATCTCTAACCACACTCTATTTTATTCTCTATTTTCTATATTTAGAGCGTAAAAAATAGAGAATTGGGTCTCCAACCACATTCTAAGAAACGCTATATTCTCTATTTATAGAGAGGTGAATAGTAGTTCTGCAAATTCATCCTCTCTATTTCACTTTTTCATTATTTTAATATTATTTCAATTATTTTGTAATTAAAATATTGTTTTTCATATAAGGCTATTAATTAAATTTCTAATATTTGTAATTCTTTTTAAATGTGGTACAACATTTTAAAAAATATATTATTTAATATATACTACTTTCATCCCGAATTAATAATATTTCAAATATTTTTTTCAATTTTTGTCACTTTAGTGATAATTTGATAGTATTATTATTAATTTTCACTATGAAGAATGCACAAAATTTAAATGATAAGATGAAAATTTTGATTTTAAAATACAATACATAACATAATAATTTAAAGACAATGTAATACATAACATAATATTTTTTAAAATCACAACAATAATTTAGTAATTCGGTAGGTCATTTTCACATTTAACAATATTCAGAAAAAAATTAGTGTATGATCTAGAGAATTATTGTACTTGTGATTACGATTGTGGTTGTTGATTTCTTTTTTCAATTATTCGTAGTTGTTCTATAAAATTTTAGAATAAAAATAATTTTATATTGAATAAAGAATTTGAAAAAAATATATATTACATGAAAATTATATAGGGTGATTATTTTGAAAAAAAAAGAACAAATTCATATTATGAAAAGAAAATGAAAATGAAAATGAAATAGAAATAATAATAATAATAATAATAATAATAATAATAATATATTGAGGAGAGAGAGAAAATTCTTTTTTTAAAGAGTAATTTAGAGAATTGAATTGAAGTTGGTTGTATGAAAAAATAAAAAACTCTACATTTAAAGAGTAAAATAGAGTGTAAGATCAGAAATCCTGTCGTAATGTGTTGTGCTATTTTCATTATCATTTTAGCTCAAAATAGTCACTTTAAGGATTCTAGAGTATCATTGAGAATTATTTTCGATTACTTATTATATTATAGAAGTACTCACTCTGGCACGGTGTTCCATATTAAAAGTGCTATTTTTACCATTTTATTTTTATTTAAATAAATGGTGTTTTACATAATAAAAAGATTATATTAATACTCTTTTCGTTTTATTTTATGTGACATTTTTTAGATTTCGAGATTCAAATAACTTTACCTTTGATTGTAATTTTTTCATAGATTTTTTAAACATTTTGAATTATCAATTATTGTGACTTACAGTATTTTTTACGCAGTTTACAAATATATAAATTTCATTTCAAAAAAATTAAAGATTTCATGCGCAAATTTCCGGTCAAACTTAAATGATTTGACTCTCGAAACACAAAAAATGCCACATAAATTGGGACAGAGAAAATAATTGTTTTCTTTCAAATTTATCGCTATTTAGTCAAGTGATTTCATGTAACCTAGAAACTATATTTTAATGTGTACTTTTCCCTCGATCCTAACTTATACAACGCATTTTTTTTTAAAAAAAATTGTCCCAAAAAATGTAACATTTCACTTTAGAGTAAAACAAATATCTAAGATTACTTTTAAACCATAAATTTTAAAAGTTTGTTAATTCTTTCTAAAAATTTTATCAAGTCAAATATTGTCATATAATTTGAAATGAAGAAAGTATACATAAAAGTAAATTAGTAAGAATATGAATAATTTAGTAAATTACACATTTTTTTATAATTATTTTTTAATAAACATGAAAGACCTAAAATAACAATTAAAATAAGAGAGAATAATTAATTGTATATTAGTTTCGACCTTACGCTTACCAAATAAATACTTAAAAAGATTAATATGATGAAAATAATTAGTAGCATTAAATTGAAATTAAAAAATAAATAAAATAATTTAATAATTTAACAAAATTAATTATTTTTTAAAGAGCATATACCATTACAAGTAAAATGAACCGGAGAGATAGTATTAAATAAACATGATTAAGAAATAAAGTATAATATATAATTGGCGGTGTTAATATTTCTAATTATTCGACTCAACGTCATCATCTTACCTTACCATAATTAAGAAATTACGTAACTAAACATATTCTAATAGTGACATGTTTGGCATCTAATCGAAAATAATATAAACCTAATTGATTATCTTACGTCTCAAATGAGACAGAGTCTTACGTATTAGTCATCATGTAATTGATGTAAAAACCAAATTTATTTTTTAATTAAGAAATGAGAGTGTTTAATTTACCATTAACAAAGCTGAATCTAATACCTTAAAATAAAATACTAATCTCAGAGAGAATAGCAGACTATTCACTTCATATTAAAATTAGTTATTCTGTCTCAAACTTGATAATTAAGTTATCTTAATTGTAAAATCCATCTGGAATAATCATAAATGTTTCAAGGTAAAATATTAAAAATGTTTCCTAGGAAATTTTTTCTTCAAATTTGATTGCATAAATAATTGAGGACTTATGTCATATTAATTCATTCAATAACAATAAACTGAATCGTCTCATTGATTTCTTTTTTATTTCTCATCATCACTTCAAAATGTAATTAATTATTTTACATGAGACGAGAACTATTCTTCACTCTTTAACATGATGTATTCCCCTTGTTTTAACGCGGCGCTCTTTCTCATTATCATCTACCTGTTTCTTTCCTCAAGTTATCAAGTGTACGTCACTACTATAAGTAGCATTCAAATTAAAAGCACATTTTGTGCTAAAAATAATATATAAAAAAGGAACTTAATCCATTTCTTTTAAATCCAAAAAAAGACAAGAAAAAAGGAAGAAGAAGAGGTCGTCGTGGATGCACAAGCAGAAGACCAAGTATTTATCACTATAATACAACGATAGTGAAAATACTTACGTCACACGTTTTGTCAAATCAAATAAATGCATAAAACTTGTATTTTACTTCCCCTGTCCTCCTCAACTTAATATTTTAATTTTTCAAAATTATATATTTTTAAAAATATAAAAATAGTACAAGTTACAATAATTAATACTAATACATGTATAAAAAAAAATACGATCAAAGAATAATTCGCTCATCACATAAAGTGAGATAAAAAAAAAATATTTATTATGATAATTTATAGTATTATTTTTATATAATTTTGAAATAATATTAAAAAAAATTGATGTTAATTTGGACCCAAAATGTAAGGTGAAAGCGTGAGTGTTGTCAGTTGTCAAAGAAATATGTCTATATTGGCGCGTAAGGTGGACTGGAACTGGACTGGGTCCGCTAGAATTCTCTAGAAGTACAACCTCTAATTTCTAGCATTTTCAGAGTTTGGTAATGTCAAATGGAACTCTACGGATTCAGTAGAATTCAATAATTTTAATTTTAATTATATATTTATTTTAATAAATGTAATGTGTTGATGAATATGTTGCAAATTGTAGTAAGATACAATTGAAAAATAAAATGATTAAAATAAGTATTTAGATTGAAACACGAAATATTTTGTTTTTTTAA